CGCCCAAAGGAAGAGCATTTGGAACCCGCCTGGTGTCCATATTGTACCTTATTGTACTTTTTGATCCTTATTGTCATGTTGAATTTTGATACATTTTTCATAATTTTTACCAACATTTTATTATATGCCGTCACGTCCATGTCCCAGGTCCAGGGGGGTCTTTGGCATTGAGGCGATGGATGCAGGGAATTTGCTCAAGCCGCTGCTTGCCAGAGGTGAACTGCGCTGCGTTGGCGCTACCACGTTGGATGAGTACCGCCAGTACATTGAAAAGGCACAGCACTTTTCTCTCTGGTGAAGTGAGTGCTCGGAACCTCTTGCATATCCTTGAATCATCTTGAATCCCTTGTCATCACATGTGCAACTCAGTGTGCAACGATTGTGCGACATGCAGCATCACTGGCCATGTCCCGGCCATGTCTTGTCACCTCTCTGGAGTACGGCATAGGACGCTGCTTTGGAGCGGCGCTTTCAGCAGGTGCTGGTGCAGGAGTTCTTCGGCCGCTGTAAATTGCTGGGTTTGCTTCGCAGCATGGCACGAGGTGCACAGAGTCTGTGCTGCAGTGCTCTCTGCCTGAGGCCAAAGGTGCCCGATTGCATTAGCATCCTGCGAGGCAAGGGATAAGGAGGGATAAGGGATGGTAAGGGCCTTGAGAAATGGATTTGCCATGATTTGCCATTTGCATCCATTTGCAGTATGCCGTGCTGATCTGTACAGTATTTTTTTACTTGTCACTTGTACACAGTATCACTTACTTATACATTATGGGCATGCAGGTATATACAGAACAGCGGGAAAACATGTAAAATGTAAACTGCCACTGACCACTTTGACACTTAGGAGTAGGGCATCCCTAGGCGGTGCGTGCTGTGTATGACGTACGAATTGCTCTCAGGGGCAGAGTGCTTTGGCTCTTGATGGCTCTCGATTGATTCTGTTTTTTTTTCTGATGTGCAGATATGTGCAGCATTGTGCAGCAGAATGTCGGGTACATTGTTCATTCTGTTTCGGCTTGTTTCAACTTGTTTCAAACAGCGCAGGGCTGAAGCCTCGCTATGAGTTGCATCATGGGGTTCGTATCTCTGACAGGGCTGTCGCATCCCGCCTGCACTGCTAGGAGCATGTCGAAGCTAGAAGTTGCCTGAGACATCCTAAGACATGGGCCTAAAAAGGTTGCAGATGTCCTTCATTCTTTAAATCGAAAGCGAGATACATCGAGTTGGGTGAAAGCTGTGAGATTCTGATTGTCACAGCCACGAGCTCTTTCCTCAGGTGGCCGCAGCTGTGCTGAGTGACCGCTACATATCTGACCGCTTCCTTCCAGACAAAGCAATCGATTTGATGGACGAGGCTTCCGCTAAGGCGCGCCAATGGATGCTAATGGATGCTAATGGATGCTAATGGATGCTAAGATTATTTAGGTATATTTCATTATATTTCGATACATGATGTATTTAGGTAATTGATGCCTGTCAGCTTTTCTGTCAACCTTCCAGATGCTTTGATGGAACTGACTTTGCAGAGTGATTGCAATTGAATCAATGGTGACATTCTGCACGAGTAATTGGAGCTTGCCATGACCGTGCCTGTTGCTCAGGTGAAGATGGAAGTTACCTCAAAGCCTGCAGAGCTGGAGCGCGTGGACAGAAAGATTCTTCAGCCTCTTGGATTCACACATGATTCCGATCATCCTATTTGCAGAGTTCACTTGACTTGTGATCCTATTCTGTCCAGGCTGGAGATGGAGCGGCTGAGTGTGGGCGACGACAAGGATATCTGGACATTTTTCACAAACCACCAGATGATTCCAGATGATGGTTAGGACTCTATGACATGTTAGGAAGGGAAATCAAGATGGAAATCATCCCATGATGACTCTGACCTTGAATCTGGCTTGGATGGCTTGGTATTTCTCCATGTTCCTGAGTTCGAACCAGACATTGCAGAGGACAGCCAATCGCTAGCGCGAATGGACACTATTAACGAAGAGTTGGACAGGTGCAGAAAGGGGTAGCTATGCGGTCCTGTGCCTCAAAAGGTTCAAGTCAACAGCTATTGCAAGCTGGGCAACCTCCAGGCTTCGGGCACAGCAAAGTGAACAAGAAGAGAAGTGGCAGAAAGAGCGCAGCTTCGTTGAATTTCAGTGTAGAGCACTGGATTGCCATCCATTGGGCAGTCAATTTCCGTTCAAGTTTGCAATAAGTCGAGAATGCACAGGTCAACCACGGACAGGCAATGATGGATCACATTCACAATGATTGAACATGATAGAACCACCCCTACGCTTTAGACGTCTTTAGACATATTTTTCTTGTGCCCTTTGGATATTAAGGTGAAGCCATCAACTCCCTTCAGAACCTTCGCCAGAAAATCGAAGACTTGGAGCGAGAGCTGGCAGAGGCTGAACGAAGCTTCAACTTGGAAAGGGCCGGACAGATCAAGTTGCTCGGATTGTTTAACAGATGTTGTACCCCTTGGATCCCCTTGGTATTTGGAGTGTGTCATGCTATAGAGAACTCGCAGATTGCAGTCCATGGCTGGAGATGCAAGAATATAGTATATGCAGTATGACTCAGTGTGACACACTAGGCTTAGTAGACAGTTGCTGATCAGTTGTTGCATGTTGTTGCAATTGGCCAATATCTGCGGAGTGCTGCATCACATCGAGGTATGGCGAGCTGTTGGCTGCGCAAAAACAAATGGAGGAGCATGGCTCGGAATGGTAGGAACGGAAGAGTGCTTCAACTCAGCGACTGCCAAATGCTGCTGCCCATGCTGCCCAAACACAGCCTGAAACACTTCACGGAAAAAACATGAAAAAAAAAACATATATTTCAAATTTCAAACCATTTCAAAGCAACAAGGTCCCCGCATGTGCACAGTTTTTTTCTGATTTGATTTGTGGTCCAGGAGGCAGAAGCCAAAGCTAGCAACGAAAATGAAGACAGCGCTGAGCTGGTGAACGAACGCGAAACTCAATAGAACTGGCGGTCTGGGAGATCAGGGCTTTCAAAACTGGCTGTGATGGCATAGTCTGAATATTCTTGAATTCAAAGTGTTATTCTGAGCAAGTTCGATGGAGTTGTTGTGTATTTTTGATTCTATTCATATTCTTCAGGGTTGCATGGAAACAGTCACGATTCTAGTCTAAGATTTGGTACTCAGGAACTCCCAAACCTTTGAATGATAATGATAGATTGTATTTGTCGCAAGACAGTAACACACCAGCACCGACACGATTTGGGCTACATTCCTGGCCCAGGACATCCAAGAGATTGTGGCTATGCAGACGGGTACCATGGCGCAAATGATTTTGCTCAGGGGAAACTTCCACCCGAAGATTTTGATTTCCACGTGCTTCAAAAGCTATGCCGCTAGCTTGCCCAAAGATACAATATATATATATATATAGTTATATAAAAAAATATATACACTGTAATATGCTGCTTTCGTTTGATTTCGCCTTTGTGCCTTATGGGCCTGACTTGTTATTGCCGAGCCACATCTAAGGAATCCCTGTTGAAAAGATGTCCATGGGAGATCGCCAGCGCCTCCTGAACCTTGAGGAACCTGGTACCAATAATTAATGTCCATTAGTAGTATATCGTTAGAGGCTTAGAGGATTATGGCATTTTGGGTAGAGTTTTGTATGTTTTTGGAGTAAAACAATTGATTACCCTTGTGTTAAATTGTTGGCCGGAGAAGTTTCAACCGTGCCGACTGGTGTCAGGAGCAGCTGCACAAGCGTTTGATTGGGCAGGACGATGCTGTCCGCTGCCTGGCCCAAGCGTGACTCGGAGCAGCTGCAGACCAGCCAAAATATTCCAAGATAGGTATATGCACACACACACACATATATTATATGCACACACACATACATATATTATATGTAGAATTATAATGAATTATATAGTATTATAATATATTATATATACGTATGTATATATGTATATTATAAGAAAATAATTAAACAAATCCGCCCGCACCGAAGGTGCTGGGGCGTGATCTTCCGGATGGCACTCGTAAAAGGTTACAGGTTTACCTGGGGGGGGGGCATTTTTCGGCCAAAACCTCCTGTTTTTGATAGGTCGTGACGCTCGCCTTCAAAAAACACTGTAAAAAACAGTACGGAAAACACCTGTTCGTGAACGCGCCCGTCCAAAATCGGCAAGCGAAAAGTGACAAAGCCCCGTGTTTTTCAACTTTTTGACCTCAATTTTTTGGTTTGCAACATCTTTTTTTGCGGTTCCGCAGGTGGCCGGGCCCGGAGGCGGATTTTTGAGTTTTTGGACCCGTTTTCGGACTGATTTTCGTCGTTTTGTGATAGCAGAAACACTGGTTTTTACAGTGTTTTTCTGTTTTCTGCATGCTTGACGGCTAGCTTCAAAACTTCCAAAAACCTCGTAAATTACGCTGTTTTATGTTACGGTGTGAATGAAAACATCGTAAATACCAGTGTTTTTTGACGTTGGCTAAAAAAACACTGTAAATTACAGTGTTTTTGGCCACCTGACCCTCAAAAACCATGGTATTTGCAGTGGTTTCTGCTTCTCACCGCGCAAAAACACTGTAAATAACAGCAATTTCGCCGTTTTTTCATGTTTTTCGTTATTTTTTGAACTGCGTTGGTCCGCTATACATGGCTATCAAATTCTTCGCGTTTTTTTTTCCGACAATCAGTACTTTCGGATGTTTTTGGTCTCAATGGCCGACATCATTGGCAGTTACGAGCGGCTGCCCAACGATGCGGTGCGGGCGGTTGCCGTCGCGAAGCGACGTGAATAGATAAATAAATAAATAAATCATTAAATAAATAAATGCTCTCTCTCTCTCTCTCTATATATATATATATATATATCGGCAAATGCCTGGGTTCTGCCCGGACCCGCAACGACGAAGGGCGACGCATCATCATCATCATCATCATCATCATCAATCAAACCCTTATTGGAGATCTTCAATGCATGTAGAAGTTTAACGGGGGTGGGAGAATTAAACCCTTATTGAAGATCTTCAGTGAATGTAGAAGTTTAACGGGGGTGGGAGAATTAAACCCTTATTGAAGATCTTCAGTGAATGTAGAAGTTTAACGGGGGTGGGAGAATTAAACCCTTATTGAAGATCTTCAATGACTGTTGAAGTTTAACGGGGGTGGGAGAATTAAACCCTTATTGAAGATCTTCAGTGAATGTAGAAGTTTAACGGCGGTGGGAGTTTTAATATTTCCTATTATCTTTGTTGATCTTCCCAATTGAATGTAAAGTTTAACGGGGGTTGGAGTTTAATATTCCCTAATACCGTTTTTGTTTTTCCCATAGGAATTTCGGGTGTTTTGACCCTTTTTTTTAAATAGTCCCTAGTACCTTTGCTGTTTTTCCCATAGGAATTTAAGGTTTAATGGGGGTGGGAGTTTAACATTCCCTAATATCTTTGTTGATCTTCCTAATTGAATGTTAAGTTTCACGATTTGAGAGTTTAAAATTTCCTAGTACCTTTTCTGTTTTTCTCATAGAAATTTCAAATATTATGCTGTTTTTGTTTTTCCCATAGGAATTTCGGGTGTTTTGACCTTGTTTGTTTAATAGTCCCTAATACCTTTGTTATTTTTCCCATAGGAATTACTGCAATTTGCAATATCATTTGTTTGTGAATTGTAGATATATACGCTGCAACGCCTGGGCAGAACCCAGGCGTTGCGCGATATATATATATATATATATATATGGTCACCGCCCTTTCGAGGGACCACCCTTTCACATTTCCATGGCGCGATCTAAACTCAATGACTACTACTTCCAAATATAAGACTGTCCAAAAACACTGTGAAATACAGTATGAAATAGCATATTTTTCAGCTTCAAGAAGAAATGCATTCTGAAGGAAAGCGAACAAATATGCAACAAGTGGACGCCAAAATCTCGCCAAAATTCATTTAACATATGTAACACTCTTCTCATCCTTCCAAATCCCAAAAATGCAAAAAAAACTTCGAGAACACCTAAAAAACTTATTTCCAGAGGTCCTGGGGAGGGGGGTGGGGGCAAACCTCGAAAAAACATCGAGAAACTTAAAAAAACCTAAACAAACTATTTTCTGACACTTATATATCCCCAGAACCTGCTGTTTTTTTTTTTAAGGTTTTTTAGGTCTTCTCGAGCTTTTTTCGAGGTTTGCCCCCACCCCCCTCCCCAGGACCTCTGGAAATAAGTTTTTAAGGTTTTCTCGAGGATTTTTCGAAGTTTGCATCCGCCCCCATCCCCAGGACCTCTGGAAAATAGTGTTTGTTTTTCGATTTTTTAGCAGTTCAAGTCTAAAGAATGTTTTTTTTTCTCACCTGACTTTTGATAGCCAACAATAGTGCCATTCCAACAAAGATGGCAATGCATAACAAGGTGCAATGATTACTTCCATTGCTTATGTTGCCAATATGCCTCAGGAGGATAGTGCCAGCTAGGAAAACGCTTTTACAATAGTTTAATCTGATAGTAATATGCTTCAAAAAACATGTAAAGTTCCACTTTTTGCTGTTAGAAAGAACCCTTTAGCATAAGCTTTTGCTCTAAACGCATTTCATTTTGTGTTGTACAGTAGGTCTGCTCCTGGCCATCGCTGAATATAGGCATGTCATTGGATGAACCTTCTTATGTTCTGATGGCTCTACTGCGACCAAGCTACAGGCTACCACTATGCAGGCTGAACACAGTCTTTGATCAGAACCTCCACTCATAAATGTTGTTACCAGTAGTACCGCACAAGGCGGTGGCGGAAGTTTCAGAATAGGAAACCTATAGGAGACGTTGGTTGTTGTGAATCACGGATGGCAGAGCGAATCCACTGATTGACCGAAAGGTGGTTGGAGTTGTGTTGGCTGGAATGGTTGCAATGGTTGCAGTGGTCACCTCACCCACAACTGCTGGATGTAGTGTGATGTACTGCAACTGTAGTTGTAGTTGTAGCGTAGTGGAGTTGTAGTTGTGGTGTAATGTAATTAGTGTAGTGTAGTTGCAGTCATATAGTTGTAGATGTAGTTGTTTTGTAGTTGTAGTTGTAGTTTTGTAGTTGTAGTTGTAGTTGTTGTTGTTGTAGTTGTAGCTGTAGTTGTTGTGTGGTTGTAGTTGTTGTGTAGTGTAGTGTAGTGTAGTGTAGTGTAGTGTAGTGTAGTGTAGTGTAGTAGTGGTAGTAGTAGTAGTAGTAGTAGTCGTAGTAGTAATTGTTGTTGTTGTTGTTGTAGCTGTAGTTGTTGTAGTTGTAGTTCTAGTTGTAGTTGTTGTGTAGTTGTAGTTGTAGTTGTTGCTGTTGTTGTTGTTGTTGCTGTTGTTGTTGTAGTAGTTGTAGTTCTAGTTGTAGTTGTCGTGTAGTTGTTGTAGTTGTAGTTGTTGTAGTTGTTGTGGTTGTTGTTGTTGTTGTTGTTGTTGCTGTTGCTGTTGCTGTTGCGGTTGTCGTCGAAGTTAGGGTAGTTAAGTTAGTGAAGTTAGTTAAGTTAGTTAAGTTAATCAATGTCTACTTTTTCGACATCTTCACGTCAAAAAAGGCTCAAAACCCTCAGTTTTTTACACTTTTGACTTCGAAATGTGCTTCGCGCCACAACGGCGTGCACTTTTTCGACACTTTTTCGACATCTGAACCTCCAAAAGTGGTCCGAGACCGTCAGTTTTTAACACTTTTGACTTGGAAATGTGCTTCGCGCCACAACGGCGTGCACTTTTTCGACATCGCAACTTCCAAAAGTGGTCCGAGAATGGTGTGTTTTGTACATTTTGACTTGGAAATGTGCTTCGCGCCACAACGGCGTGCAATTTTTTATCGCTCCTGTGACCAGCTGGCTCCGCACCCGCCGCTTTAGCGAGCCTACTTTTCGACCCTCCTGAGCCACAAATCATTGGAAAAACACAGTGTTTCGCGACTTTCCTACCTTTTCGCGCATCTGTATCTTCTTTCTTCTGACTCTTTCTCTTCTCATCTTCTCATCTTCTCTCTTCTAATCTTCCTCTTCTCTCTGCCTCTCCCCTACTCTGCTTTTCATCTGTCCATATTGTCGGAAGTTTGACTTCTAAACTTCCTTTGAACATGATAACCTATACACATTCTATCATTTTCCATTCTGCAAGGGTATCCCTAATGATAATTATATGCGATTCTGAAAGTATGATCACATGTAACGTTCAAATATGTGCTATTGACACTATTTCTAAGCTCTTTGTTTGCTTGCAATGTTGGCTTGTAAAAAAGACATATACAAGCCAATGCCACTTTCAATTTGTCAAAGTGATTCCTATTGACAAGACTACCATGTCTACAATCTACAAGGATTTCTAGCGGTTCCTATCTCAAGCTTTAAGTTTATGGAATAGTTGTGCTATGTGTTGGATTGAAGCTGATCTTTGCTACGTGCATGTGGGGTTGACTTTGCCTTATTGTTCTATGATGATGGGGCAAAAGTAAGCTGACATAGTTCAAACAGTTCATATGAGGAGAGTCATTTACTGCATGCCCCTCCATGGTTACTGCTAACGTGTGATGTCATCTTCACTTGACTACAGAAATTTGCATAGTTATTACGAACTACGTTCACATTATCTTTCTTTTCATTTCAATCCTTTTGATGATCACCAACCCATGGCAATTATCTATGGTGATGCCAGAGGGGAATCTGCCTTAGCATAGAGATTTATTTTTGCTATTTTACTAAGCTGTGGAGCCTCATAGATTGCTAGAGGGATGCTCCTATCGAGATTTATAAGACTGTGAGTATCTCTCAGATTCCCTTCAAACAAGTCTGTAATCTTTGTAGTAGATATATGTAGATATGAATGATTATGAGTGTATTTGAAACATCACTATCTAGATAGCATGATACTTTCATTTTGTATTCCTAAGAGAGTGTGAGTGCATTTGGTTACTTGGGAATGTATGTTCATAATTCACTGCATTTCTAGATACGTGGAATTTGGGGACATACTTGCTTCACGTTCCTTTGATGTCATGCATTCTCAACAAAGAAAGCAAAACCACAAAACAAACAGCTTAACACTTACACCGATTCAAAACATAGTATATACTTACATCAGGTTCTACCAGTCTCATATATTACTACATATTAAGTAACACATCATTATACATCATGTAGAATATATCAACATTATACACAGAACCTAGGCCCTCGCGAGGATGCTCCCTCGCGAGGGCGCTGAGTTTGCGCAAACCTTATGCTGCATATGCTGGGTTCTGCCACTGTCTCACCGTTGATAATTTTGCATGGCGTCGGTTTCACATTTGCAACAGCACCGTAAGGATCCAGCGATCTCGGTATGGGCTTGCCGACCCAAACAGGCCTATCGCCTCGTGCCTTTTCTTGGGACCGACAGGAGTTGGTGGCTTGCCAACACATCGTGGAGCGGGGTGCAATGCTTCAAACCTCTCATCCCATGACATCACTTCAAACCATTTCAAACCTACGTAGTGCATCTTACGGCTGTTGCAATTTGCGCTCCGCTCAGGTAAAACTGAACTTGCAAAATCGCTGGCGGAATGGCTGCCACCAGACTGGATTACTTCCCTAGCGCATGCCTTGCTGGATATGCTACGATATGATGCGCATGAGAGTGAATCAGGATGTGAATGTGGGCAAGCTAAAGCTAAGGTTCGATTCGGAAGAAGCCATGATCCGAGTTGCAAGGGGCTCAGATGTGATCCTTCAAGAAGACTTTGACAAAGTCTCAGGACTCTGTCGCACCTGGGTTATTCACCCCACATCGTACTTTCATCCGACCTCCACTATCGGTCACTACGGGCATGATGTCAGTGATGGCAGTGTTCCAGCGCCTTTGCGGTGCTTTCTGAGGACATGTCAGAGTACATGGAGAAGTTTGCAGTTTCTCGTTTGACTGGAGCTCCACCAGGCTATGTTGGCTACGAGGCCACCTGGCGACAGTGGGCTGATGTGGGCTGACATTTCCTGAAGATCCAGAGAGGGCAATAGGCTCCAAATGGATCCAAATGGCTTGAATAAGGATTTGGCACAGCATCCACGCCAATTGGGAAATATTGGGAATAAGTGGGGGCTCTGCTGAATCTGCTGGTGAGGAAGGTGGACAGCTCACTGAGCCTGTCCGGAGAAGACCTTACTGCGTGTTGTTGTTCGATGAGATGGAGAACCTCGAAAAGAAGTGAAAAAGCTGGGAGGGGTTGTCTGATATTATCGTACGGATTTAACATGATTTATAACATTATGGAATAGATGCAACATATGAGTGGCCACCAAGATCATGCTCTACACCTCTTGAGTTTTTTTGCGCTTTGATGCATTCTTGTGCAAAGGGCTGAAGCCTAGGCACTGCTTGCCGCTCTCAGAGTTCCCTTACCATCATGTCACCTTCATGGTCTCAATTTACTGTGCTACTAGTATCATCAAACACGCATCTGCAAATTCGTTGAAACAATTGTGGAGATTCAATAGCAGAATGTTGAAAGCAGAACACTCAATTGGCTTGAGCCGAGGAAAGCCCACCCTGATGTGACTTGGCTGAGCCAAACAAGCTTTTGCTTCAGTGGATTTGAGGCTGAATTTGCTGAAGCATTTGGACCCTGGTCCAAACATGGCCAGCATCGCACAAGTACGCTTACTTTCGCATTCACATAGATTCCCATACATAGTTTTGTTTCATGGCCTTGCTTCAGGTTTTCAACCTGCTCCTTCAGATCCTCGATGATGGGCGATGCACCGACTCTCAAGGCAGAACGGTTGACTTCAAAAACACTGCCGGGCGGCCTAGCCTTGGCGAGATCTGTTTAGGAGATAGACCGTTCAAGTTCCTGCTTCTGAGAACGTCAGAGATGTTGTGAACGCTTGAGACTGGGCAAGTCCGATCTGCCTTCAGGTCATTATCATGACGTCCAACGTTGGAAGTGAAGCGATCGCAGAGCTGGGAGCCAAAACCTCAGGAATAATGTTGAGATTGGTTGAGACCGGGAGCGCCACAGACAGTTAGCGCAGACATTCATAGAACTGTATTCACTGGATTTTTATCCGTGGGATCAGGCCAGCGCTCTTGATGGGGAAGATGCAAACAAGAAGATGGAACGTGCCAGCTGACTCAGACAAGCTGATGTGATTTTATCATATTTTAATTATATGTTTGCATTTAATTTCGTGTGGCCTTACATTCATGATGAATTTCTATATAATTTGTCATTTGTCATTATATTTCTAATCCCTTCATCCTAACACTAAACGCCGCCCCCCAAATAGTAAACACTTGCAGTAGTTTTTTTTTTTGTATTAAGGGGGTATTTATTATTTGGGTGCGAAGCTTCCCCCTAAAATTAAAATAATATTAAATTAAAACATTGCAGGCAGTAGAGGGGCATGAATTTTCACCGGCCCGCATAGCACCGCATAGCCCCGCATACGCAGCCCACACGCAAACTATGCAGCGCTATGCAGCGCTACGCAGCGCTACGCAGCCCACACGCAAACTACGCAGCGCTACGCGGCGCCACACAGTCAGGGCTACGCAGCGCTACGCAGCGCTACGCAGGCCTAGACAATTTCGACCTCGCCTGTCGCCAACACTGAATTAAAAGCCTTAGTGCAAAAAACAAAAAAAGTCTTTCAAAATCGATTAAATTTCCTTTTAAAACCTAAGTAATATATTGCCGAAAATTTGGCTTTCCCCAAATATTAAGTCAAAAGTTAAAAGCCTTAATATATGTAAAAAAGAAACGTTTGTTTCCGATCTTAAAAGACGGACCCTAATAAAAAAAACTCCCCGGAGTTGACTAGTTTTTCCCCACCTGCCAGGTGAGGGTTGCTAGATTTTAACAGAGCTCTTCTCCTCCTCCTCCTCCGCCTCCTCTGCCTCCTCCGCCCTCCGCCTCCTCACCCGCCGCCTCCTCCTCGCAGTCCAGATCCCAGTGGGCACAGCCGGACCTCCACCGCGAGCTCCAGATCCCAGTGGGCACTGCGAGTTGCAGATCGCAGTGGGCACTGCCGGACCTCAACCGCGACTTCCAGGTCGCAGTGGGCACTGCTAGACCTCAACCGCGACTTCCAGGTCGCAGTGGGCACTGCCGGACTTCAACGGCCAGATAGAATGCCAGAAGATATGCCAGATGGAATGTCAGATACAATGCCAGAAGATTTGCCAGTAAGAAAATGTATAAATATCATGGTGGGGATCACACGAAGTAAAGTAATTATTATTAGCGGGTAAAACCCACAAATGGGCCCTTCATTTTCAAATTGTGTTTTAAAGGAAATCAATTAAAGATCAAATTGGCCAGTCGGAAATTTCCCAAACTTTAACGCGCCCTGGTTTTTAGTATTTGGGGGGTTGGTTTAGTAATAAGATGAATGGATTACATATACAATATTTGCATATATTTGCGTGTCATTGCTCGGAGTTCTAAGACGTACTTGAATTGTACGGGGGGCTGTGCCACATCCGTGTCAGGTCACCGAAGCAGTGCGTGCAGCCATGTCAGACGTCTTCCGGCCCGAATTCTTGAATCGGAACCCTGGATTCAGTGAGGAAAGATATGGAAAGATTCATGAAGGTTAAGGCCAATTAGGGCCAATTAGGGTGAGGCCTTTGGCTGCTACTGTCTGTGAACCCCTATGACATGCCAATACATGCCAATTTATGCACATGTTACCCAGTCCACGGCATCAGCAAAGGAAGTTTCATGGAGGAAACTCCGAGTTATGGACTTTCACATTCTCACTAGACCAGAGATCATTGTGTCCAGTTGGCATGTGAATGTGCCTTAGCCTTAGGAGATCTTGAAGTCACATTCTCACTAGCCCAAAGATCATTATGTTTAGTTGGCATGTGCCTTAAGAGATCATGAAGTCACCTTCTCACTAGCCCAGAGATCATTGTGTCCAGTTGGCATGTGAATGTGCCTTAGCCTTAGGAGATCTTGAAGTCACATTCTCACTAGCCCAAAGATCATTATGTTTAGTTGGCATGTGCCTTAAGAGATCATGAAGTCACCTTCTCACTAGCCCAGAGATCATTGTGTCCAGTTGGCATGTGAATGTGCCTTAGCCTTAGGAGATCTTGAAGTCACATTCTCACTAGCCCAAAGATCATTATGTTTAGTTGGCATGTGCCTTAAGAGATCATGAAGTCACCTTCTCACTAGCCCAGGGATCATTGTGTCCAGTTAGCATTTGCCGTAAGAGATCTTGACGTCACATTCTCCCTATAGAGATCATTGTGTCCAGTTGGCATGTGCCTTAAGAGATCTTGACGTCACATTCTCACTAGCCCAGAGATCATTGTGTCCAGTTGGCATGCGCCTTAAGAGATCATGAAGTCACCTCTCACTAGCAGGGGGTAGAGTAGATGTAGAGTAGAGGTCAAGTAGACTAGAGTAGACGCAGAGGCAGAGATAGAGTAGGGCAGAGTAGAGTATAGAGGGGTAGAGTCGAGAAGAGTAGAGTAGAGCAGCCTAGAGCAGAGAAGAGTTACCAGGGGTAGAGGTAGAGGTGGTGCAGTAGGGTCTTGCGATTCGGATTGCGTTTTGCAAGTCGTTGTTGGCAGATCGCGTTGGAACTGCTACATCATAGATGCGATTTGAATGTTAGGATTTGCACGAAACATATCGAAACATTGTGTTTTTTTGGGCCAGCGGAGGTATGTCTGCTCCAAACCCCTCTATGAAATAGCAGGGGTCAAGGCCCGGCATAAAGCATTTTATGCATGGTTTTTCTGTTGGTTGGACCCCTGGTTTTATATCGAAACCATGGTTTTGGATGATTCTGCTCAAGGTATGGGTTCTGGAAGGGTGGGTGAGAGCTCCCTATTTTATAGAGGATATGTTTGTTTTTTCAGTTTTGCCGTTTTTCTTTGACAGGAAGTTACATGAAATATAAATTTGATGCATGTTTTTTGAATTGAATAGTTAGATATAGATCGTTGACCATGAGTGGATGGCAGTAGATTAAATTTATCCGAAGCCATTTGGCCAAGCAAAGGTGGCCGAGCAAATTTATCGAAATTTGATGAAGCGAGGAATTCAGAAACTCCACATGAATCATACTGAATCATCATGAATCCATATAACTCAATGTTTAAATCATGCTGATGAACCATGGAAGTGCTGAATGACACAAATCCACATGAATCTCACTCGTCTGCAAAGTTCTACTTCCTCTACTATCCTTTCACATCTTTGCTACCATCTCTCTTGACTTCTTGGTTTGTGCAACCTCCTGCCACATCTTGGCACGACTGGGCCCTTGCTGGCAGGGTGGGTCTCTATAAAATGGAGGGGTCTAACCCACCACCTGCACCATAACACTGTTGCTCTGTGGGAGAGCAGAGGAATTGGAGCAGCAGGGGTCAGAACCAGCACTCAGAAGCCATCTCAGCTCTCACTCTTCTGCAAAGTTCCACTTCCTCTGCTATCCTTTCACATCTTTGCTACCATCCCTCTTGACTTCTTGGTTTGGGCAACCTCCTGCCACATCTTGCCACGACACGCCACGACTGGGCCCTTGCTGGCAGGGTGGGTCTCTATAAAATGGAGGGGTCTAACCCCCCCACCTGCACCATAAGCAGGGGTGGATCTCTATAAAATGGAGGGGTCTAACCCCCCACCTGCACCATAACACTGTGGGAGAGAGCAGAGGAATTGGATTAGTAGGGGTCAGAACCAGCATTCAGAAGCCATCTCAGCTCTCACTCTTCCTCTCACTCTTCTGCAAAGTTCTACTTCCTCTACTATCCTTTCACATCTTTGCTACCATCTCTCTTGACTTCTTGGTTTGGGCAACCTCCTGCCACATCTTGGCACGACTGGGCCCTTGCTGGCAGGGTGGGTCTCTATAAAATGGAGGGGTCTAACCCCCCACCTGCACCATAACACTATTGCTCTGTGGGAGAGCAGAGGTATTGGAGCAGCAGGGGTCAGAACCAGCACTCAGAAGCCATCTCAGCTCTCACTCTTCTGCAAAGTTCCACTTCCTCTACCATCTCTCTTGACTTCTTGGTTTGGGCAACCTCCTGCCACATCTTGGCACGACTGGGCTCTTGCTGGCAGGGTGGGTCTCTATAAAATGGAGGGGTCTAACCCCTCACCTGCACCATAACACTGTTGCTCTGTGGGAGAGAGCAGAGGAATTGGAGCAGCAGGGGTCAGAATCAGAATGAGAAGCCATCTCAGCTCTCACTCTTCTGCAAAGTTCTACTTCCTCTGCTATCCTTTCACATCTTTGCTACCATCCCTCTTGACTCCTTGGTTTGGGCAACCTCCTGCCACATCTTGCCACGACATGCCACGACTGGGCCCTTGCTGGCAGGGTGGGTCTCTATAAAATGGAGGGGTCTAACCCCCCCACCTGCACCATAAGCACGGGTGGATCTCTATAAAATGGAGGGGTCTACCTGCACCATAACACTGTTGCTCTGTGGGAGAGCAGAGGAATTGGAGCAGCAGGGGTCAGAACCAGTACTCAGAAGTCATCTCAGCTCTCACTCTTCTGCACAGTTCTACTTCCTCTACTATCCTTTCACAATCTTTCACATCTTTGCTACTAATTGCTACCATCTCTCTTGACACATACATACGGAGGTTCCGCTGCGGAGAAAAGTAGGTTCCCGCGCCCGACAGTCTTAGGCGTCGCCGCTTTGCCGTGGAATCTTGCCCGAAGTGCGCGCGCAACGTAGCTGAGGGTCCCAGGTGACTTTTTCTCTTCTTTGTGGATGCTGTGCTATTGTTTTTTGCGTGTGCTGAGACACTTTGTGCATTGGAACGGGTGCATCAAAGCGATGTTGTTTACAGTACTGTTTTGCAATTCTATTCTGCTGTGCAATTCAGTCTGTGCAGATCGCAGTGGAATAGCTGCGTCAACGCTTCTCGAAAGGTAATTGTGCTGCAGTACTGTCTTGCGAGTCTGATTGTGTTTTACAAGTCACTGCTGGCAGGATCGCATTGGAACTGCTACATCATAGATGCGATTTGAATGTTAGGATTTGCACGAAACATATCGAAACATTGTGTTTTTTTGGTCAACGGAGGTTCCGTTGCGGAGAAAAGTTGGCTCGCTTGCCCGACGGGTGCGGCGATCCTTTGCTTTGCCGTCGATTCCTGTTCGATTTGCGCGCGCAGTGGCACTGAAGGTTCCAGGTGACTTTTTTTCTTCTTTGTTGATGCTGTGCTATTGTGTTTTGCATGTTGAAACATTTTGTGCATTGGAACTGGTGCATCAAAGCGATGTGTTCTACAGTAGTGTGTTGCAATTGTGCTGTGCAACTCAGTCTGTGCAGATCGCAGTGGAATGGCTGCGTCAAGGTTCCTTGCTGCTGCGGCTGCGTGCGGAATGCTATTGTGTTTTGCAGCTGAGAGTCGTAAAGCGTATTGTAGTGGCAGCATGAAAGTTGCGATTGTGGTGCTTTGGCAGCAGATTTTTCTTCATTTTGGAGCTGATGATTTTCCTTTTAAAGTTCCTTTTGGCTTCAAAATCGTCGTTTATGCGGTTTTGGAGCTGCAATTTGTGTAGCCGCTGTGCGTAATTCCATTGTGTTTTGCAACTCGGCCTCTGCAGATCGCAGTGGAATGGCTGCGTCCAGGTTCCTCGCTGCCGCGGCTGCGTGCGGAATATTTTTAATGCCTTTTGCAGCTGAGTGGTGCTTTGGCAGCAGATATTTCTCAATTTTGGCGCATCCTGTGTAGCAGCTTCTCTATGTAAAAACTTGCTGTGTGTAAAAGCTTCTTTGTGTAAAAAAATGCTGTAAAAGCTTCTCTGTGCAAAAGTTTGCTTTGTGTAAAAGCTTGCTGTGTGTAAAAAATTCTCTGTGCAAAAACTTCTCTGTGTAATTTCTCTGTGCAAGAGCTTCTTTGTGCACAAGTTTGCTGTGTGAAAAAACTTGCTCCGTGTAAAAGTTTCCCTGTGTAAGAGCTTGCTGTGTTAGCTTGCTGTGTGTAAAAGTTTGCTTTGTGTAAAAATTTCTCTGTGTAAGAACTTGTTTGTGCAAATGTTTGCGCTGCGAAAAAACTTGCTCTGTGTAACATCTTCTCTGTGTAAAAGATATTTTTTGTGTAAGAACTCAATGTGAAGTTTCTTTGTGTAAAAAATGCTGTGTGTAAATGCCTGCTTTGTGTAAAAATTTCTCTGTATAAAAAAATGCTAGGTGAAAAAACTTGCTCTGTGAAAAAAATATCTGTGTAAAAACTTCTCTGTGCAAAAACTTGCTGTGTGTAAAAGTTTGCTGTGTGTAAAAGCTTCTGTGTGTAAGAGCTTCTCTGTGTAAGAGTTTGTTGTGTGTAAATGCTTCTCCGTGTAAAAACTTGCTCTGTGTGTAAGCATCTCTGTGACAGGAGGTGAGAAGAGTTGGCCAGAGTTGAGAAGGTGAGAAGAGTTGAGATGAGCTGAGAAAGAGGTGAGGTGACTTGAGCGGAGGTGAGAAGAGGTGGGAAGAGTTGAAGAGGTGGCAGGAGGTGAGAAGAGTTGAGAAGAGTTGAGAAGAGTTATATAAGACGAGGTGGGCCGACGTGAGAGTCGTCGAGAAGAGTTGAAAAGAGCAGGGAGGAGGTGAAGATTGTTGAGCTGAGGTGGGGGGAGATGGAGCAACTTTGAGAGCTGAGCTGCGAAAATTGAGAAGAGCTGAGATGGTCTGAGAAGAGGTGAGAAGTCTGAGAAGTGGTGGTCACAATTGAAAAGGGGTGAGGCAAAATGACGACGAATTCACAGAACAGAGTTGAGAAGCTGTGAGGGTCCGCTGCATCTCCTATAGGCAAACCTTGTCTTTGGATCCTATAGCGTCACACTTCTTAAACCTGGAAACTTCCGCCACCCGCCTTGCACCGGTTCTACTTGTAACTCATCATATGTTGTGGTGGTGCCTCATTGGACGCTTGTGCTTTTGTAGCTCGTCAATCTTTGCACAAACTTTATGCTTGCCATTCTTGCTGGTCATGGGTGCCCCAATGGCCCGAGATGGTCCAAGGATTGATGAGAACATCATCTTCAGACCATTGAACCGAGAAGACTTGAGGGAAATTGCGAAGCTGCAGCTCAAAAGGGTTGAGCAGAGGCTTGCTGACAGGCGAGGTCAGCCTGAGGTCAGCATGGCCTACTTGATCCATTTTGATCATATACTTGCATACTGTTTGGCGATAGGTCCGGTCGACAGTAGGTTCTCAGTAGATCATTAGGCATATTTAGGCATGCAGGCCAGCCATTTGGGACCGCTTTGGACCAGTGATGACAGCTAGGATTGCAAAGCATTTGCATGACCGGCTTGACTGCAGGAACATCCATATTGATGTCAGTGAAGCAGCGCCTTGTCGACCCTTTATGTTGCTCAAAGTTTGTTTCAGATGGTGTCAGGAGGTTTCTCCTTCAGCGGTTCTTTGCAACCTTTTTGACCCTGCACTTGCGCCAGAGTACGTCCTGCGCAAGTGCAACGTTGGCACAGTTAAAACATGTCGAACACACTTATAATACTTATAATTAGCATTAATTAGCTGGGTGACCCTAAGTGTTTGTGTCGTGCCTCAGTGGCTGCTTTGACATTTGAGATTTAAGGCGCTGGACCTGATTGCGCAGCGTGGCTATGACCCAACCTTTGGTGCCAGGCATGTTTACGCCTTTCAGTGTCAGGTGAGTCCACACATGTCCACGCATCTTTTCTGGATGCACCCGGATATTTCCAGAGATTTGGCATGTCCTTCCAATTCTTGGGCCTTGCTGGTGCTTCTTCAGGCCTATCAAGCGCTCCATTGTAGCAAACGTCGAGACTCCCTTGGCTCAGAAAGGTTTGGCCGGTGAATTCGACGATGGAGACACTGTTCCTCAGCAGAATTCATCACTAAATCTAACTTTTTCTAGCTGAAGTCCCTCTTACTTTAGCAAGGTATTGGCAGGGTTTCACGCCTGGCTGTGTTGGAAGCAGATTTGGCCGGGCTCAATCCCCCCCTTCTGAGACAACGTCGCAGTCAGCATCATTATCATCGCCATCATCATCAGCATCATCAGCATCATAGTCACGGCAGCAGCTTCGATAGCCTGTCTTCATTGTTGCCATTTTATATAATGGATGCATTTCTTGTTGATACGAGCAATCTCAGTATCTCCATCCGCCTGCTCCTCCTCCCCATCCTCTTCCTCCTCGTTACACCCACCCTGGTAGCTATCCATGCTATCCCTCACCCCTTGGACCCCTTGGACTCAAGTTTCTGTGCCTTCCTGCAGCCTTGCCATAGCGGCCATAGCGGCCATAGCGGCAGCCAAGGTCAAGATTGATGTCAATGGCGAGCCCTGGCTTTTATTGGACTCATAGGATTCGTAGGTAGCTGCGAAGAAGTGTGACATCTCTGCAACACTTTCCGCAACTTATCGGCACCCTGTGCCTTCTGCCTTCTGATGCCTGTTCTTTCTTGATTGCACTCTTGAGGATGAACTGACCTACACAACATGAGATTGCCTCCTGCTTCTCAAAGTGAAGTGTGAGAGAAAACTCCGCTTCCTCTTGTATATACTTCTTTTGCATATGCGCTTGGTTGCTGAGTTGAGCAATTTTGCATTCTTTGCTCACACGAGGAGCTCTTTTGGCTGTGTTTCTGTGTAAGTCCGTGAAATGTTTGGCGCAATGGTTGCCGGATCATGGCAACATTTCCTGACATGTCTCGAACAGACACGGCTTGCCTGCGCAAAGCCAAAGCAAGCGTGTTGCAAAAAACAGCCCGTGCTGGCCATGTCCCAAGGGCCTGGCATTTGTCGAAGGCGGTCTTTTGACCCTGCCGGGCCTTGTGGGAAACATGGGATACAGGCAATTTTCATCAATTTTCGCTGTTTAAGCAATGTTTAATCGATCGGTCTGCTTGTTCTTGGTGGGTAGTTGTTCCAAGTATCTCAATATCTCTTTCCGAACTTTTAACTTATGTACAGGAAGAGCTTGTACCACACCGGCCTCCTGCCTTAGAAAAGCTCAAGACGATGACAGCCCCAGTTGACTTGTTGGAGCACGTTGGAGCCAATGATCTGGTTTCAAGAAGAGCCATGGCCAGACATGGCCAGTGCTTTGTTAATTTTAGATTGCTTTACATGAGATCCGCAAGGTCTTTTCGACACAATGCTGAACTCCTTGCTCAGGCGGGTCGAAGCTTCAGCGAGAACTCCCACAATGCTGCAGTTAAAGCGGTGAAAGTATGGGTGAATTGTTCTCCCTAGTCATGTTTGCAAATGAGATTGTAGATGATTGTAGGCCTTGCTGGTTTTGCTGGGGACTTGACGAGCCACAGGCCAGATTCCTTTTCGAGAAATGCCTTGGTCTACTCTCTGGATCGAGCATCGTTGTGGGATCGGGTTAGCCCAGTCAGTGACGCAAAACCTCATGGAGTAGCACCAGCAAACCAGCGCAGAAAACATCGCAATCGTGCAAACAGTGTGAGCTGGCTGTTGGATGTTATTTATATATATATATATAATATATATATAGGAGCAATTGTCGCTAAGCTGCTAATGTCATTTTAAATGGGAGCTTGGACTTGTACTAGGTTGAAAGCTTCATGCGATACTGGCAGATGCTTTTTGTTAACGGTCGCTGGTTTTGAAATGGGGCGAGCACAACACGAGTGGATGGTCCAATTACAATCAATTACAAAGGCACTGGCTGCTTTACATTCTCCCAATGCAGACGAAGAGGCGGTGCTGGAGAGTGTGGAGATGTTTCTGTCAGGACCTGCCAGGTACTCGTATGCAACATTATGCAACTATTTGATACTATTCGCACAATGTTACACAGGCATGCGCAAAGGATTGGCCTACGACTCCATTCTTTTTTCCTACCACTTGTTGACACCTATTCCTGTTAGGCAGATACTATCGCCTTTAATGCCGCGATCAGCTCTTGCTCGAAGGCAAAAGGCACCCGTTGAGCCAGTTCGACCAGAAGACATACTCGGTTTAGAAATAGAATGAATCAGAGAGCAAATGTGCAGCTCTCGTAGGTTGGGAGCACGCTTTCACGACACTGCATTTGTGTGGGGCTTAACTGGCTTTGCCCTTCGTAAAGCATAAGTTGGTACGTGTAGCAGTTTTATAAATGTCGTACATGTTTTGCACTAGAATAGAAGACGCAGCATTTTCATGTACTTTCCATGATTTTCCCACATCCTGGGGGACATTTGAGCTGAAGGATGTGGTGGATGAGACTGGCGGCAGATGTGATCTCTTTCGGTGGCTCTGCTCAGAGTTTCAGGTGGTCGAAGAGGATCACCCAGACGATCGACCTAGATGCAAATAGGTTGTTACTAACATATTGTCAGATTGCATATGATTGTATATAATTTATTTATTCCCCACCTGCCAGGTGAGGGTTGTTAGATTTTATCAGAGTTGTTCTTCTCCTTCTCCTCCTCTTCCTCCTCGTCCTCCTCCTCCACCACCTCTGCCTCCACTTCCATGTTCACTTCTGCCTTGCCAACTCTTCGCCAAGCTCTTCGCCAACTTCCGCACGCAGTGGGCACTGCTGGACCTCAACTGCAAGGGTCTGAGCGCACTGGGCACCGCTGGACCTCAACCTGGGATTCTTCCGAGCTCAGTGAGCACCGCTGGACCTCAACCTGGGACCGTCCGAGCTCAGCGCGCACCGCTGGACCTCAACCTCAGACCCTCCGAGCTCAGTGAGCACCGCTGGACCTCAACGGCCAGATAGAACGCCAGATAGAATGTCAGAAAGAATGCCAGAAGATATGCCAGATAGAATGCCAGAAGGTATGCCAGATAGAATGTCAGATAGAATTCCAGAAGGTATGCCAGATAAAGTGCCAGAATGTTTTCCAGATAGAACGCCAGAAGATTTGCCAGATAGAATGCCAGATAGAATGTCAGAAGATATGCCAGATAGAGTGCCAGAAGATATGCCAGAACATATGCCAGAAGATATGCCAGGTAGAATGCCAGAAGATATGCCAGATAGAATGCCAGAAGATATGCCAGATAAAATGCCAGAACATATGCCAGAAGATTTGCCAGATAGAATGCCAGATAGAATGTCAGAAGATATGCCAGAAGGTATGCCAGATAAAGTGCCAGAATGTTTGCCAGAACATATGCCAGATAGAATGCCAGATAGAATGTCAGAAGATATGCCAGAAGGTATGCCAGATAAAGTGCCAGAATGTTTGCCAGAACATATGCCAGATAGAATGCCAGATAGAATGTCAGAAGATATGCCAGAAGATATGCCAGATAGAGTGCCAGAAGATATGCCAGAACATGTGCCAGATAGAATGCCAGAAGATTTGCCAGTAACAAAACGTATAGATGTCATGGTGGGGATAACTCGAAGTAAAGTAATTTTAGTTTTTATATATAGTATAGAACGTCTTATCGTTCAATCACACAATCAAACATAGCCTGTCTATGCATGCCAATGCACGCATACAAGGCTGGTGGCACATGTCAAAATTATTCAAAATCTAAACATGCGCATGATTGTGCGTGCATGCATGAATGTGAACGCATGTGCAAATATGCAAAAAATAACTTTCTTCGAGTAATCCCCACCCTGACGCATTATTCTGACATAGTTTCTGAATGTTTCTGACCTACGATCTGAAAGTATATACTGGATATATATATATATAACTGACATTCTATCTGACATTCTTTCTGGCATATACTCTGACATTCTTTCTGGCATTCTATCTATTCTGACATACTTTTTCGTGATCTTTTTGGCATGTATGCTGACATTTTTTCTGGCATCTATTCTGGCATTCTCTCTGATATGGGCACTGTCAGACTTCAACCGCGAGCGCCAGATCTCACTGCCCACTGAGATCTGGCGCTCACGGTTGAGGTCCGGCAGTGCCCACTGAGATCTGGCGCCCGCGGTTGAGGTCCGGCAGTGCCCACTGTGATCTGGAGTTTGCAGTTGAGGTCCGGCAGTGCTCACTGAGACTTAGAGTTCGCGGTTGAGGCGCGGCAGTGCTCACTGAGATCTGGCGCTCGCGGTTGAGGTCTGGCAGTGCCCACTGACATGTGGAGCTCGTAGTTGACGTCCGGCAGTGCCCACTGAGATCTGGAGCTCGCGGTTGAGGTCCGGCAGCGCCCACTGAGGTCTGGAGTTCGCTGTAAGGAAGTAACTCTAATAAAATCTAGAGACCCTCATCTGGCAGGCGGGGAAAAAACACACGTTGGCAGTTGGCAAGTCTTTCAGAACATCTCTTCCAGTGCATCGAACGTCGACTTTACAACTCTTGCGCTGAGCGCTGAGTGTTTTTGTTCAAGCATTGGCAGAGCTGACCCTTGCACAGGCATTACATTTCTCCAGCATTGCCATGAAATGGCTTAAATCTACTTAAATCTATAAGTACAAGTGCAAAGCCGAGTGAACAGCCTGCGGCAGTGAAGAGATGAAGACCATCAAACCGAGAATGGAGAATGGGAGTTGCCCAGTATACCCCTTTCAGACATTTTTCCGCTCTTTCGCTTTTGCCTCTGGATGTGTTTGGTGGCCCCACATTCTCACCTAGCGCCATGTGAGACATGGCCGACCTCCTGATTTGTGCCGTTTGCCTCGAAGAAGTTTTGCCAGAAGAGCGCAGATCTCGAGCCACCGGCTGTGTGCACGTGTTCCACTGGGAATGCATTCGGATGCTTGGCTATCCCGAGAGATCCTGAGAGGCAGTTGCCTTGCCAAGACAAAACGCCCAATAGCCAACAGGATACACGCACACACACACATATAATATATACACACATATATATATATATATATTTCTGTATAATACGTGTATGTGTGTGTACAGGAGAGAAAGGAGAATGAGAGATATCAGTGGAGAGAGAGGGAGAGAGAGAGAGAGAGAGGGAGAACACTTTTGAATTGCAACCAACTGCACCACCGACTTCTTGTCAGCGTTCACCTCCCTTTTTAAACTCCTTTATAAATACCAGAACTATCGGCTGCCCTCAGGAAATGGTTCCGAGTCAAAGCGGCTTGCCCGGTATGCAATAAATCATTGCTGGAAGAGGGAATCTTTGAGGTGGATCCAGTCTCGGGCACTCTGGCTGCATACGCGTGAACGCCCACGCCATCATTTTGAACAATCCTTCTTGAAGGGAATTCATTAGATCGTCACAAGTACTGGGCACCCGCTCGTACATATCCGAATGCAGTGTCGACATGTTCTTACCTGGCAAAACTCAAACTCGCCAGAGACACAAAACAAATCAAAACAATATAGTTTTTTTGAAATTTGTAGGTATCATTTGGCCTTATTTTTGTATGTTGTCACTGTATGTCACTGTTGCAATATGTTGCACTCAGGAAAGTCCTTCTACCACAGGATCCGGCCTGAGGGTGTGCGTGGCTCGCTCCACTCAGCGGCAGCTGCTGGAAATGTTGCAGACATCCAGCGGCTGATTGCCGGTGGTGCCAGTGTGAACCGATCGACCTTGGGAGGTGTAGCACCTTTGCACATGGCTGCGCACAATGGTCATGCCGAGGCCATAGCCAGGTTGCTTTCAGCACGTGCAGGGGTGAATCAGTTGGCGCCTGGTGGAACTACGGCTTTGCTTCTTGGACCTTGTTGAGTCTCGCATTTTCTCGGCTTCTGTTTGTAATGTTTGTATGCCTCGCGTGTTTTGGTCTTGCAGATTACTGCGGCGGGCATGTTTGTTTATGGAGCATACATGTTCACTATTCGCATGAGGTGCATGCATACAAGACTTCGTCAAATGACTTATTCTGAGATTCATTCTGGACTGGCATGGAAGTCGTTTGGCAGCTTCTATCAGGAACTTCAGTCAAAAGGCTCAAAGACAATAATTCCTCCCCCCACACACACACACACCAACCCACATACCCACACCAATGCAGGCACACGCACCAAGACCTGAGAATAGAAGGCATGAAAAGTGCTCATGTAACGCATGCACATAGACATCGCGAAGTTTTACAGCATGAAAAGACAGACACAGCGAGAGAGAGAGAGAGAGAGAAAATGTGCATGTTGTCGTTGCTCGTAGTTGGGAACAAAGACTCCACGAGCATGGAGTAGCACCATGTGCTGGCTCTTGCTATCTGTGGCCATCTGTTGCCTATGTTCTGAGCAACAGGTACATAGCAGCCCAGGGACAACATGCAGATGCTGTTGCACGACTTCTCGCTGGTGGTGCGGCGGTGAATTTGGCAGTTGAAGGTGGTGGCACTGCGCTTCACGTGGCAGCCCAAAATGGGCATACAGAAGTCGTAGCGTGGCTCTTGGCGGGGAACGCTGAGGTGGATGCTCTCATGGAGGGTGGTATTACCGCACTCTTCCTTGCGGCTCAAAGTGGCCATATCGATGTGATTGTTCGCCTGCTAGCACAAGGTGCATCCGTGAATATTGCTGCAGGAAATGGGGCTACAGCCCTTCACTACGCTGCCCTACATGGACACGCAGAATCTGTAGCTCGCTTGCTGGTTGCCCGAGCAGATGTCAATGAGACAACCCGGAGTGGCGGTACGGCTCTGCATGTAGCTGCTCAAGGTGGGCACACAGAGGCTGTCGCTTGGCTCCTGGCTGGCCGTGCTGATGTTCATAAGGAGAACATGCCGTGACACATTGTAACAAAAGCCGTGACAACTCTGGTAAGAAACTGTCAGTTGTCACAAGTGGTCAGAAGTTTTCTCAGTGTTGAATCACATGTGGATTCATACACAACCAGAAGCGCCAGAAGGACGCTTGAGATGTTTACTCCAAATATTCTATGCCATGAACGTGGGTGTCAAGAATTCAATGAACAAGCAGGAACAATGTGATTATTGAATGATTATTGTTTAGGACGTAGCTCTACCACGTTTTTGACCTGTCTCTTTAGAGAGTTTTTATCAACTTAACTCTTTGTTTTTATACACTTAACTTTTAGTTTTTATCAACTTAACTTTTAGTTTTTATCAACTTAACTTTTAGTTTTTATACACTTAACTTTTAGTTTTTATCAACTTAACTCTTAGTTTTTATACACTTAACTTTTAGTTTTTATCAACTTAACTTTTAGTTTTTATCAACTTAACTTTTAGTTTTTATACACTTAACTTTTAGTTTTTATCAACTTAACTCTTAGTTTTTATCAACTTAACTCTTAGTTTTTATCAACTTAACTTTTAGTTTTTATCAACTTAACTTTTAGTTTTTATCAACTTAACTCTTAGTTTTTATCAACTTAACTTTTAGTTTTTATCAACTTAACTTTTAGTTTTTATCAACTTAACTTTTAGTTTTTATCAACTTAACTCTTAGTTTTTATACACTTAACTTTTAGTTTTTATCAACTTAACTTTTAGTTTTTATCAACTTAACTTTTAGTTTTTATACACTTAACTTTTAGTTTTTACCAACTTAACTTTTAGTTTTTATCAACTTAACTCTTAGTTTTTATCAACTTAACTTTTAGTTTTTATCAACTTAACTCTTAGTTTTTATACACTTAACTTTTAGTTTTTGACAACTTAACTCTTAGTTTTTATACACTTAACTTTTAGTTTTTATACACTTAACTTTTAGTTTTATCAACTTAACTTTTAGTTTTTATCAACTTAACTCTTAGTTTTTATACACTTAACTTTTAGTTTTTATACACTTAACTTTTAGTTTTTATACACTTAACTTTTAGTTTTATCAACTTAACTTTTAGTTTTTATACACTTAACTTTTAGTTTTTATCAACTTAACTTTTAGTTTTTATACACTTAACTTTTAGTTTTTATACACTTAACTTTGAGTTTTTATACACTCAACTTTGAGGTTTTATACACTTAACTTTTAGTTTTTATACACTTAACTTTTAGTTTTTATCAACTTAACTTTGTTTTTTTCAACTTAACTTTGAGTTTTTTATACACTTAACTTTGAGTTTTTATACACTTAACTTTTAGTTTTTTATACCCTTAACTTTGAGTTTTTATACACTTAACTTTGAGTTTTTATACACTTAACTTTGAGTTTTTATACACTTAACTTTTAGTTTTTATACCCTTAACTTTTAGTTTTTATACCCTTAACTTTTAGTTTTTATAGCCTTAACTTTTAGTTTTTCTACCCTTAACTTTTAGTTTTTATAGCCTTAATTTTTAGTTTTTATACACTTAACTTTTAGTTTTTATACCCTTAACTTTTAGTTTTTATACCCTTAACTTTTAGTTTGTATACCCTGAACTTTTACTTTTTATACCCTTAACTTTTAGTTTTTATACCCTTAACTTTTACTTTGTATACCCTTAACTTTTCACTTTTTATACCCTTAACTTTTAGTTTTTTTACCCTTAACTTTTTCTTTTTTATGCACTTAACTTTTACTTTCTATAGCCTTAACTTTTACTTTGTATACCATCAACTTTTTCTTTGTGTTGCCGTGTCCTTAAGTCTTTATTCGTGCTACCTTGACTTTTTGCGTTGTGTTTCCTTAAGTTTTCACTTTGTGCTTCCCTAACTTTTACTTTGTGTTTCCGTTACTTTTCATTTGTGCTTCTGTCACTTTTCATTTGTGCTTCCGTAGGTTTTCACTTGTTCCCTTCACGTTTTACTTTGTGTTTCATCAACTTGTCACTTTGTGTTACCTTAATTTGTCACTTTGTATTGACTTAACTATTTACTTTGTGTTACGTAACTATTCACTTTGTGTTGCCTTTGCTTTTCACTTTGTGTTTCCTTAATTTCTCACTTTGTGTTGTCTTAAGTGTCTATTTTGTGTCACCTTAACTTTTCGTTTTGAGTCACCTTGACTTTTCATGTGTGTCGCCTCTTGTTTTATTTGTGCCACCTTAGTGTTGTTCCGTTTTTGCTATGTTTTTTCATTGATTTAAACTGTCCATTATTTGGTGCATGTTTGCCCATGCAATAGCTATCTCAGATATCTCCATTTGCGTGTCACCGCCATGCCTCCACTCACTAGATGTTTCCTTTTCTTGGCCATTGTATGGTTTAACTGGAATAGACCTTGGAACTAACATGGATGAGATCAGAGAACAACAGTTTCGCGCTGGGTCCGTCGGTCAAGATGTTATTCATTGCAGTTTTCGGGTTCTCCAAACTGTGTGTTTTGAATTTGCCCAGAAATATGTTCAACAATTCGATGAAACTGGTCATATTTCGGATGTAGATTTGGATGAATCTCTGTGGCATGTTGTCATGGGCAACTTCTGTAACACGCACGGATCAATCAAAATATAATATATATGATCATGATTTGTTTCAACCACAAATGTTTTTTGGCAGGTGCGGGCTTGATGTCTTATTCACAGAGCTACTGTGGCATCAAACGAAGGTGTCAAGCTCTGGTTAGAATGAATGCATGGATATGTGAGATATATACGACAACAAAGTGCATCTACTTATTTCTATTCCCAGCATTCAGGGGCTCCGCGAGACTGTGCAGGGGGCAAAACAATTTTCTTGTGGAATATAATTTCTGCTCGAGCAACCCAAGGGTACTGTTTGCACATGAAACCGTTGTGCAATGGATAGTGGTGATACTGAGATCGATTTACTAGATTTATTGGAGAACTATCCTTCAGACCCGCAGTCCCAGGTTGTAGTGCCAAATGAATGCTCTCGGGGTTTAGTAGAGTTGCCATTGGCACTTCCATCAACGTTTGATGATCCAGAACATGTTGAAAAGAATGACAAGAGGGAAACGAAAGTGAATCTTCCCAAGATGATTGGGAAGGTCGGTCCTGGGAGACACGGCGATCAACGAGATAAGGATATCCTCGCACTCAACATGCGTAGCTGTAAGGTCATCATCAATGGGGCAAATTTTCGGCAGGATGTTGCAAACCTTTTGGATGACTCATCTTTTCGTTCCAATGGGCAGTTGATTGGGGTTCGCGCACAGAGATCATGCACTGGTGTTGTGATCAAGTTGACACAGAAGAGTTCCAAGGGTAACCGCTTTCGAAGAGTTATCCCGTGGTGCGAGTTTTTGGCAGCAGCTTTTGGGAAACTGAGACGGGATAGTCATATTTCACTGGCTATGAACATCTCCAGGCAAACTGCCAGCTTCATGACCACAATGGTTGGATCAATTTACATGGCACAGCAATCGGCATTTCTGGGTAGAATGCTTGTGTTGGCCCGGTCAAACAGACCTGTGTTTTTGATTCGTCATTGCAAATGGGACGAAACTAGTTTGTGGACTTCAGTGGACGTTGACAAAACTCAGAGACGTGTTGCCTCTGCTTGGCAAGTCATGGTCTGCAAACAAAGGCTTGTTGTCGGATTTGAGGATGGCAGTGTCGCGATCATCAAGCTAGTAGTTCCTCCTGTGGTGTTGTTGGCTGCTGGCGCGCAGCACATGTTTTACGCGCTCACAAACCATCCAATGTTCAAATCAATAGAGAACCTGGTGAATTCGATAGCTGAGCTGTCTTACAACAGGATCCAAATCTTTGAGAGCGATGGGGCGTATGCAAATGAACGACTTATAGCCCATCTGATTCAAAGGAACAAGTCTTGTGAACGCCCTATGCACTTGCTGCACGTGAAGTGCCAAAACCATCAAACACAGCTTTGCAATGTCTCTTTGATTGCGAGTGTCGGAGCCAATGTACTGAGTAGGATGTATGCACTCACAGTATTTATCAGAAATCTGGGTAACTTTGTCCGCCTGAAGCAGGCATTATTTGCCTGGATCGATGAAAATCTGATTTTTGTGCAGGACATCGCCGACATCGCTCATACAGATGCAGAAAGCTACAAGTCACATGATCCTGGAATCTTAGAACTCATCGATTTTCTGCGGTCCAATCGAAAAGTTGATTCCCAGTGTTCTGACACGTCAACACGTTTCGAGGAAGCGGTTAATGAGTTCCTCGAAATGTTCAATGGGTCAAGTGATCTCCAGCAGCCCTGCCATCGTTGCACTCAGACATGTTTTCCAGCACACCAGAGACATTGCGACTCCCGACAAACAGCAGTCCGAAGATGCGCTTCCGCGTTAATCTCTCTCCTTCTCGGGTCAATGCCGGCAGTGCCGGCCCCGAATAAGTGGACTACAGTGTATCCTTGCTTGGAGTCTTGGATATTTTCTTCATCTTTTGGGATGGCTTTATCATCATCATTGAATGATGTTTGTTTTCTATTATGTTGTTTCTTGGCAGACCGGCTTCATTTTAATTTACATTTGTTTCCAACATTTGAAGATGATGATGACTGCCTATGCCCTATGCCGCATAGTCCTATTTATTTGAAAATAGATTTGTTATTGAATATTGGGGTGCGCATCTTTTATGACAGATGATCACAGAGATACTGTGGATTCAAACAGACTTATAGTATCTTATAAGATTGTTCTAGCTAAGTCGAAGACGGGCTACGATGATACGTATTATTATTATGATTTGATGACATGATGGGTATGGGTCAATTTGGATTCCCGGATGCCCCAATGGATAGTTAAGGTATATTTCTCAAATATGGGGTTCCGTGGGGCTTAAAATGTGTACCATCCTCTTGCTTGTTTGATGTATATATTTGTATCATATCATCAGGTCAAATCAAATCATACCGTACCGATATCATATCTATCATATCTCGTGTCATCATCAAGACCGATGACCGTGTGCATCTATTGTCAAGATGACTCATGACTCGACTAAATTTGTGTTTCCTAGAGTTGGGGTACCCCCAAACAATTTCAAGTTGGGGTTCGGGCATTTTAACAAATCCCTAAAGAAGGAATAGATTTTGGATTCAGACTCACGGTTATAAGTTAGAAGTTGTCATAGTGAGGCATATTTTGGGACCAAATGTTTTATATGAGTTATTTTATATTTGTTGTTTACACCTTGTTTCACCGCATACAGATTGAGGATTTCTGCCTTGCGGGTGCAATCATACACTGTTGGTTGCCGCAGGTGTTCCGGTTGGCATTTGGGCACATGGAATTCAGAGAGTTTCAAGAAGCAGATCAGAATGCAGATCCACGGATTGTAGAGACGCTGTCATGGCATGCCATTAATGGCAAGCGACTCAAGAGCTCTCTTGTTTTTTTGGAATGCGATGATGCAAGATGGTCTGTCAAATTGCTGTCTGTCTCCATGGAGGCTACACGGATACTCATCTGGTTTTGGTTGAGCTGCATTGGGGCTAGCTTACAAAGAGGACAACGTCCAATGTTGTATCGTGTGCTAGATCCGCGTACCAGCGTTGTGGTGCAAGCGTTGCAGCACTACAGCTCCTTGATCATGAGCCGCACAGGGGGAGGACGCTTGAACCTCCTATGGAGTTCTTCAGCTTTCAATTCTTTTGCAGAGTTTTGTGATCGTCAGCAGAACAGATGCCGGACAATCCGTAGGGTTCTCATGCTCGGAGCGGGCTGGGTGTTTCGACGCCACTTTCAGTATCTGAACAGTGATCCTTTCTCTTTGACCCTATGTGGAGACCACAACGCACATGCTGATACATTGGACAACTTTTTGGCTTTCTGGACGATGAAGCATCCTTGCTGCTATCCACCAGGATTGTGCAGAGATCTGAAAACGATGGGTTTGACGCCAGATGACCTATGCTTTGGAAATTGTTCTCGAGTTTTGCATTGGACAGCTGCAACTGTGCAATTGTCGATTGCAGACATCGAGTCCATGCACTCGCAAAACCGCGTCTTACAAGGTAGCAGTTTTTCTTCAATCTCTGCGAAGTACATCAACTCTGAAGCATTGCGAATTCGGGATGACGCAAGGAAACTGCAGTTTGGCGAGCCCGAAAACCGACAAGATTTGAAAACCATTGGCACTTCTGGAGGCATCAAGGTTCGCTTCAAGACTAGATCACCAACTGCAAAGGGTTTGTCTGCTTTGGAGCTTTTTCGAAAGCATTACCTGAAGTTGCAGTCACGTGGTGGCAAGGTGAATCCTTGTAGCAAGGAGTCTTGGAGTGATGTGAGGGAAGCTTTTTCCAGCCTGAGCCCGCATGAGATGTCTTTGTATGAGCAGCTGGCGCGTGACTCTAAAGTAGAAGCTCTAGCAAAACGGAAAGTGAAAAAACAGATTCAGAAAACAAAGGCATCACAATTTTTGCAGAAACGGTCGGGTGATGGCAACGAGGGTAGCGCCAATGCTCTTGTTCCACATGAACAGAATCACGATGGTGTGCATTTACAGATCTTGCCGGTGCACGAATTGTGCGACCTTTTTCAGAATGCGGGCGAAGATGTTTTGAGCAGGGTTGTGAAGTGTCACTCCAAGAAGAATGACCAGTGCTTTGGAAAGTCTGATTATCCCATTGGGGAATCCACCTTGGAAAAAGTTTGGAGGTCTCAGGTCCAAGCTGGGATCGATGGAAAATCTGCGTGCAAAACTTTTCAACGCCAAGCTGAAAGCGTGGCTCGTCCAGAAACACAGGACGAAACGTTTCCGGATAGAGTTGTGCACGAAGGTTTTTGTGGTGAGCAATGTCGTCACCACAGCAGTTCGGATCGTATTGCCATGCACTGCAACACGCTGGCTTTGTTTAACTACATTGTTGACCAGACCCTTGGCTGATGGGTTCCGTCTGTTTGGTTGTGAGTGCAGTAGATTCATTTGATCGGTATGATGGGATATGGTTTGATTCAAAGGGGGTGGATGGTAGAATTGATTTGCATATCATATGAATGAAGGTTGATTACAAGTTATATAAAATACGGATACGGTATCTGGTATTTCTAACCATAATATACTCAAATATAGTAATAGCTCATATCATATCATATGATATCAATATCATTTACTTTAAATTATTACAATTTGATCCTTTCGTCCATTTCCTCTGTAAAGTGGTGGGGGTCGGGGGTCCGTTTAGAGCATTTTTTCTCGAAAAAAATGCTATGAAATCAAAAGTGTTTTGGTCCCTGCATTTTACAGTGAAGTCATTTTGGCTGCTATATGTATTTGGTCTGAGCTTGCACACCCCATTTTACAGATGATTTTATGCGACACACCCCGCCTTTAACTGGTGGTTGGTGGTTGTCTATGGTAGGTTGACGGTTGGTTGGTGTGTTTGTGGTGGCCGGTGTGTTCGTGTCTCTCACGTCTTCGGAGTTGGTAGCCCGAAGGTGCGTGATGTTATGCGACACACCTCGCCTTTAACTGGTGGTTGGTGGCTGGTGGTTGTCTATGGTAGGTTTACGGTTGGTTGGTTTGTCTGTGGTGGCCGGTGTGGTCGTGTCTCTCACGTCTTCGGAGTTGGTAGCCCGAAGGTGCGTGATGTTATGCGACACATCTCGCCTTTAACTGGTGGTTGGTGGCTGGTGGTTGTCTATGGTAGGTTTACGGTTGGTTGGTGTGTCTGTGGTGGCCGGTGTGGTCGTGTCTCTCAGAATATATGTCAGATAGAATGTCAGGTAGAATGCCAGAAAGAATGCTACGAATGTCAGATAGACTGCCAGAATATATGATATATGCCATGTAGAATGCCAGCTAGAATGCCAGAATACATGTCAGATAGAATGCCAGAATATATGTCAGATAGAATGCCGGATAGAATGTCAGAATATATAATATATGTCAGATAGAATGCCGGATAGACTGTCAGAATATATGCCAGATACCATGTCAGAATATATGTCAGATAGAATGCCAGACAGAATGTCAGAATATATGTCAGATAGACTGCCAGATAGGATGTCAGATAGCATGCCAGATATATCTCGATAGGATGTCAGAATATATGCCAGATAGAATGTCAGAATCTATGTCAGGGAAATTGTCTGAGTATATAGAATATATGTTCAGATATACATCTTGACATGTCATGGTGGGGATCACTGGAAGTAAAGTTTCTTTTTTATATATTTATTTAAATTTATTTATATTTAATATAATTAATATATTATATATATATTTTTTAGATAATACGATATAATATAATTTAATATGAGAATTTCAATAAAACACAATTAATATTTTGTTATATATATATATATAAATATATAGTATGAAATATAATTCATCATGATTTTATTCAATATATAAAGGGATGAGATGATATATATTAGATATATTATTAATATATATATAATATATATATATTGAATAATGTACGATATCTTATAGTAATCCATAAAACTAATATTTAATAATGCTGTATATATATAATATTTTTATATACGTAATAATTTGTTTCAATATGTAAATATATATTGTTATTTTTATATTGTACATCTATCTATCAATATATACATAGTATTTATATATATATATATATATATTTATATACATATACATTTAAAATATATATATATAAATTTAAAATAAACATTTCATATATATATATATATTATTTATATAATATATATATATATATATATATTATAATATATGTCATATGTGGTTAAACTAGTTTAATTTATGATCATGAGAGAGAGAGAGAGACAGAGAGTTGTAGCTAAACTCACTCGACTTATTGAATGCTGATTGCACTATTCATGATTCAAATTGCAGTAGTACTCTTTCAACGGCATGTATCCTAGAGTATCTCATTTACGTATGACTAACTGGCACCAGCCACAATTTGAAGCTTGCCGCCCGCATTGAGGAAGGGTGGTGTGAAGCATGCGGTGGAAGCTGATATCCTCTGCAAATTCGAGGTTCGTGATTCTGGCGGGGACGTTTTTCGGCAATATACCTTTCTGACTTCTCCAAGTGCGCAATCAGGGACACACAAACCAGAGCAAGTGTTCGTTTCTTTGGTTCCAGTTGATTGGGATATGGACTGCGAGGGGTCCTGTTTGGGCGCAGCGCATGCTGGCATGATTTTGGAATTTCAGACATTGGCCTTCGTAGATCCACCAGCATCTTGTCATTTTCCGATCCAACCAGAGATGTCGGGTCGTTTGAGGATGTGGACTTCTGATCAATTTGCAGCATATTTGTTGGATCTACCTATCCAGGCAAATTCAAACCGGGATCCTGTTGAAGTGAAAGCATACTTGATGGAATTTTTGGATATTTTACCATCAAGGGTCATGCTTACTGGCAAAATCGACAACATTACCAATTTGCTGGCAAACCCCAATATTTCTCCTCTGTCCAACCCGGATCGTGAAGAATCTGATCAAGATTCTGATGATGCAGGAGGACCCGCGCAGGATGAAGATGGGATGGGCCAAGGGAATGCAGAGTGTGATTTATTGCTTTTGCTAGAGCAGTCAGACAACAACGATTCAAAACCCAAAAGAAAGAAAACCAAGCCATCCGACAAGTCTACGAAAGAATCAACTGAGTCCAGCAGCAAGGGTTATGGTGATGTCATTTTGGATGACCCATGCTTACGAACTTTCTTGTCACCAGATGATATCATGGCTTTGCAAGTTGCTCGTGAGCACTGCGTGACCATGAACGTGGACGTGAATGACTGGAGCAGTGATCTCCGTGGTGATTTTGGAGAGTCGGATGGTGATGAGGATGAAATCGAACTTGTTGAGCCCATAGACGAACAATCAAATTGTCAGGGGGGAGATGCTGACACTATCCATTCAGCTGCAAGTTCATCCAAGTCTTCTTCAGAACCTTTGTCGTACCAAAAAGAGCAATGTTCCTTTTGAATTCCACCCCTGAAGATGACATTACAATTTAAAACTTAGTCTATGATTCAGTGATGACACACACACACACGACTATGGTGATAAGTTTGGGGCGATGGCATGACTATGATTTTGATACCACGGCTCATGACTGCGGTTTGACATGATAGATACATGCTTTATGATATATGATATATTATATTTCATGTATATGATGATATATTTATATGATGATTTCTGGTGGTATGACCCTGCCTCTAAGTTCCACAGGCGCCAAGAACATAGGTTCGATGGTGCTCGCATTGGGGTTTTGGGCAACAACCATACAACTGGTACTATCTTGACCACCCGCTCATTCCTTTCCCTAGGCTGCGGCATCATCAAGTCCTACCTTGGCAGAGGATGACCTTCAGCAGTTGCAGCCCGTGTCTCTGGCCAAAGATCCCAAGGGTTCTCAAGAGAATGTCCGTATTCTTTGTGCAGAGCCGGATGGCAGTTCTGTTGTTGTGAAGCTTTTGGGCAAAGGCGCCGCGCTGGCCCAAGTTGAACTTCGTTCCAATTCCATGTCATCACCAACTGTTCTGGGAATTGTTAAACATATGGTAGATGGCAGAAGTGGTCGAGCATCTTTGCAGGCAGTTTGCAAGCAACATGCGAAGTGTTTGTGTTGGATTTCAAATACGCAGAATTCAGAACTTTTATTTCAGTGGCTGGCTGAAAGCCGAAAGTCTGATGGCGATCAGCATGCAAGGTTGTGCCACGAATTAAAAAAAGCATCGGGATGAAAGTCACAACTTGACTTCATACCTCCAATCCAAGTTTGCAAGACATTTGATTTGATCGGGTCATGGAAAAGGGTTCAGTGGAACCACATCCAGGTGGAATTGAACACCAGAAGACCCCAAAATGACCCCAAAATGACCCCAAAATGACCCCAAAATGACCCCAAAATGACCCCAAGAAGGTGAGTTTTTATCAGCTTAAGTCTGGCCAGTTAAGCTGACACAAAGTAAGGGTACAGAAACCATATTTTGCAGCAGAATAGAGTTTTTATCAGCTTAACTTTTTGAGTTTTTATCAGCTTAAGTCTGGCCAGTTAAGCTGACACAAAGTAAGGGTCCCGGGGCCGGGTTTCGAGCCAATTTGGGGCCCAGAAAACTGTCAAATTTGAGACCCAGCAAAATGCAAAATTTGAGTCATTGAAAGCGCTTTTCTGAGCTCAATGATTTTACCAGAATGGCTGTTGCATTTTTCATTGATATTGGTGACCTCGGTGCTTGATCCAAAATGATTCAGTGATTTCATTCATAGCATTTTTGGCTTTGGTAGCTTTTGGACTTCGGCCAGTGACTTCTTCCTTGGTAACATGGCGTCCCAGATCCCACAGACACCCATGAAGTCTGCCATGCGCCGGCAGAATGCATTTTTGGGGTCACCTTCGGGTTTGTCGTCTTCACCCGGGTCTGGCAAGACAAGGAAGATGTCACTGTCCCCCAAGACTCCAAATGGAAAGTCTCCTATGAAGTCCAGTGCTATCCGTGCTATGAAGTCCAATCCCAAAACTCCGAGCCCTATGAAACCAAAGGCAGGAACTCCGTCCAGTTCCAGCTCGTCCCTTGCGTCTCCATCGAGGCCTTCCAAGTCAATGAAAGCCATGAAGAAGATCACCCAGCGCATGCTCAAGAATGCCCGCCAGAAGGCTCGATTCGAGAAGGTGATGAGCAAGATTGACGAGGAATGGCGTGATATGGTTAGCCATAACGCAAGTTTCAAAGTTGGCCCACCAACTACTTGGTCTAAGCTTCTGGGAGTATGATTCAGTTTGTTTGGTCATGTCATGAGTCACATGAGTCTTGTGATTCTATTGATGTACATTGTCACATTGTTGCATTTAGGACCATATGAGATGACATTAGAAACTTATATTATACTCTTCACACTGCTGTAAAGGTATGATTACGGTATGTATGATTCATGCATGAATCATTCCATTTGATGGCAATCAAGAGTTGATGATGTTGACGACGGATTTGCCAAGATTTGCCTTCATTCAACAATTTTCTGCACAGCATCTTTATATCTACCACACATGTCACATACCCGACACAAACGTCACATCTGAACTGGCTAGATGTGAACTGGCTTGATGTGGTTCAAAAGGTAATTTTAATTGTCATAACAGAAGGTAGCAGCCGAGTAGTTAGATGATAAAAGCATAGGGGCATAGAAATGACAGACCTGTTCGCCAAGGTGGTGGCGCGGTGAGCTGGAGAATCGTGGCTGGACTTGCTCAAGCCCACGCAAGCCAATGAAGTGGATTCAGTGGAAGAAGACCAAGCCGGTGATTGACCCCCAGGCCTACACGGATGAGTCTGAGAGTGACCTGCCCTAGGGAAGATGGCCACGTGGCCATATGGTGGGATTTGCCGAATAGCTTCCCCGATTTTTGGAACAGATTTTGTTTGCCTTTGCGTTCTAGATTTCAAGTATAGGCAGCAAGCCTCTGTTTCATCTCTCGGCGCCTCCCTTTGGTTGATTCTATTCTCTCCATTGTTTTCCATTGTGGTGTTTGCTTGGTAAACTCGAGCGCGGAATAGGCAGGCCGAGGCTTTTTTTGCAACCCCATGCATACAGTAATTACTGATGTGTGTACCGATTTGGAATACACCAGTGAATCGAATCATAGCTGAGCCGACCTGACTGGCATGCAGTAGGGTGTGTGGTGATCGCTGGGGTCAATGCTTGCTTGTGCAATCATAGTTTGAGCCCAAATCTGTGTTGAGCTGTGTCGACATTTCTTCGAAGTTACTTTCCTTGCGATCCGGTCGGGACCTATTGCCATCCATGAGCATTGCCGTCCATGAGCAATTGCAAACTAGTGCAGACTGGCGAATGGAGCGAGCGACAAAACCGATGGCCAATGACTGCCACTGACTATGTTTCAGTTTCACTACGGACTCATTTCAATTTTCTAAAGGGATCAGTCTTTGGTCAATTTCGAACTTGATGTTTCTGTTTGAGAAGTTCGGTTACCTCTGTCCTCGCTACTTTCTTCCTGTGTGCTGTAGTTCCAACTTCGCTGAGGCCACTCATTGATTGATGTGACATCCAACTTTGAGATGCTAGCTAGGATGAAATGATGTTGATACGATATGTGATATGCCCATATGAATATGGTTTGATAAGTTTGATATCATTATCGTATCATATGATACGGTATAGTTCAGTATGGTACAGTTTGTTGAAACTATATATTACGAGACCTTTGGATTTGAACTTGCGGGCATGGCCACGTGGCTGACTTCACTTGGTGTATGTTTTCACCATTTTTGACCTCAAGGATTTGAACTAACGCTCTTTGGGCCTCCTCGTCCTATAGCTAGGATTCCTTGTTCTGTGCAGTCATGAAGGGTGGCCGCCCTGGGTCGGCGACTGACCAGAAGCAGTGCAAGTTTTGCAAGAAGTATTTCGACAAGGACACGAATCCCACGGTGAAGAATCCCACAGCTGATGACTTGGTTCGACGTAGGGCATCATGCAGCAGGGATTGCAAATCTTGCCACTACTTCGTCAAGACCGAGGAGGATTACGCAGAGATGACTGGAACTGGTTTGGAGAAGCACTTGAGCATCCCATCCAACCAGGCAGAGTTTGATCGAAGGTATGATGAATGGTGCTCGGGACGTCGTGATGGAAAGCGTCGTGCACGCGCACGAGGTGAGACAGGGCAAGTTGATTTACAATTGAATTGTTTGAACTTGTTGTGAGATAGGTTGTGATCGAAATGGGGGCCCCACCATTTCCTCAAAAAGAAATAGTAGTAATAACTTACAGACCTATGACTTATATTGTCGTCATTGTACTATGTTAGCCTGGTATATCAATATTTGAGATATATTTGAGCATTTGACTCTGACAGCGTGGATCCTTGCATGAACGTTTTATTCATGAGGCCCATACCGCCCATACCTCCTCATATCCCACATCCTTTTCCTGAGAGGAGATGCCAAGACTGTGGCCGAGCAATCGTCAGGCTTCGAGACGAAACAGGTCCTAGGCTACTTGTGGACACCAGCCTTGCTGAAGAAACATGGAAAAGAAGTACCGCGAAAACTCCAGACGATCACACACCAAGGATGCCAAGTGAAGGGGGTAGTCCTAGAGGAATTTGTCGTTGGTTTCTAGAGTGAATGACTTTGTGCTGTTTTGGTTTTCTTTTGGTTCTCCCTCCATGTTGGTTACTTAGCGCTACCTCATTTTCTGAATTTCCATTTTGCCGCTCTGAGGCTGCATCGAGGTGTCCTCGACCAGTGCCAAGACAGCGAAGCAAGTGACCGTTCTCGCTGAGGGGGGCGAGGAGGATGGCAATGAAGCCGCGGACGCCTTTGAGGCGGCTACCAAGAAGCTCAGGGTTTCCACAACGGAGAAGGATGATGAGATCAGTTTGATTCTTGCCAAATTCAAGACTTTCAGGTTCCGGGTTGGATTCGCACATTACATATCATATCAGCATATCATATATCATATATCATATCATATATAATATAATATATAATATTATAATATATTTATATAAACATATTATAATATATATTATATATATATAATATATATATATATATATATATATAAATTATCATATATATATATACATGTATCATATATGTATATATATTATATATTTATATATTATATGTTTATATATATATATTATATATTATATATATAATATATATATTTTATATATTTATTTATATATTTATATATATATATCATATATCATATCATGATCAGCATAGACATGACGCTCACAGAGTCATACTCGGAGCCAGCGCAATGGCAAGAAGAGCTGTCGAAAATCTACGGTTTGGGGCATACACACCTCTAGCACAAAGAAGTTAAACAATGAGCAATCTTCACTTGATTATCGGGTTTATGAATCAAAATCTGCACATCCAGCCAAGGAAAATGCCTGCGAAATCGGGACCTGAGGATGATGAGCTCATGGGTCTTTTGTGGGGCACTACGGGATCAACATGTCTTCAGGGCTCTGATGAGGAGAAAGATGCTACTGCTACAGCAAAGAAGAAACGGGCAGTAGGTGCCAATCGCACTGCTCGCCCACCAAAAGATTCCAGCGGTGGATTGCAGGCAGATACTGCTTCAAGCGTAGATGGTGCTGCTGGTGCATCTAGCATCTTTGCTTTCATGAGCGGCGCAAAGAAGGCGAAAAGTGGTGCCGAAACCAAGGAGATGGACAAGAGTGAGTCGATCTGTCTGCAAGCCCAGCAGCTGAAGCTGCAACTTGAAGATTCCCGATCCTTCACACACGTGTCTCTGACGAAGACATCCTCTCTACTTGAGAAGATCGAGAGCCGCCTCGCAGAGTCAGGCAAGACTTTTGTGGAGCTGATTCGTCTTCAAGGCACCGGCTGCCGTGCTGAGAGTGTCCTTCAAAACTTGAAAGACAGCAAAGCCATGCTGGAAGGAGTTCAAGATCTGTTGGAGGCGCTGCAGGACAGTGAGGCCTCTCCTGCTACACTCCAAGCCCGGGCCACGGTGCTGCGCAATCTCAACGTCGCACTGCCTATGCAGGTGAACAACATCTTGTGCCAAAGGTCAATCATGGCCCTGGCTGAAGAGGACAAGCTTGCCGAGGTTATGAAGTTCCTGGACATTGACTTCAAGGACACTTATCCGGACGGCATTGCGAGCGTGCTACCCACCAATCTAGCACCAGAGGCACTCAAGGTCATTGCGACTGAGTTCCAGAGTGGCTGCATCACCTACGTGATCAACCAGTACTTTCTACGAGACTACGCTGGAGATGGTGGGTGCTTGGGCTCTGGTTGTTTAACGGATGTTCTTTCTATTTCCCCACGCCTAATTTGATTTGATATGATACCAGTTGTACCGCACAAGGCGGTGGTCCTATAGTTTCAGAATAGGAAACCTATAGGAGAGGTTGGTTGTTGCGAATCGCGGATGGCAGAGGGAATCCACTGATTGACCGAAAGGTGGTTGGATTTGTGTTTGTTGGAGTGGTTGCAATGGTTGCAGTGGTCACCTCACCCACAACTGCTGGATTGAGTGTGGTGCAGCGCAGTTGTAGTTGTAATGTAGTGGAGTTGTAGTTATGGTGTAGTGTAACTAGTGTAGTGTATTTGCAGTTAGATTGTAGAGGTGTAATGGGTCTGGTGTAATGTAATGTAGGGTGGTGCTATGTAGTGTAGTCTAGTGTAGTGTAGTGTAAAGTAGCGTAGTTGTAGTTGTGGTTGTTGTTGTAGGTGTAGTGTAGCGTAGTGCAGTTGAGTGTAGTGTAATGTAGTGTAATGTAGCGTAGTGGAGTGTAATGTGGTGGAGTGTAGCGTAGCGGGGTGTAGTGTAGTGGGGTGCAGTGCAGAGTACTTGAGTGTAGTGTAGTGTAGTGTAGTGCAGTATACATTGCAATTTAATAAACAACTATTAATCATCGTATCGTATATTTAGGGATGGCTGGAAAACGCATCCACAAAGTTATGTATGAATTCATACAGTACTAAGCCTACCAATTCCTCAGTTTTCTCCCCAATTCTTCCAGATTCGTCTTCACAGCTTTCCCCAGCCCAGGTCTGAATGTGATGAGCGCAAGACCTTCATGCACGAATGTTTGACAAAGATTCTGCAGTTCATCAATGCATTCTCTTCTTCGGCCATCTACGGCTCGGCCGCTCCCTTGAAGAGCGCACTGCGAGAGGATTTGCAGAGACTAGTGGCGGTTGTCAAGCTGGCACTTTCGCCTGGCAACGTGGGAGCTGCAGAGATTGATGCAGTTGACAGTGCCAGATCACTCCTTGTCAAGAGCAAAGGCAGCTTCCAGTCATCCCTGACTCTGTACCCAGTGGGAGCCTACTTGTGTGAAAGCATCCAAACAATTTCGGCGCAGTTCAAGAAGGATCAGCTTTTGGAGGCTGAAATGCAAGCAGCAGGAGACTTTGCACAATCTATGAAGACCCCTTGCCGGGAGTTGCTCACAAAGGAGCGTGATGGAGAGGTGGACGTGGTTGTGCCAGCCATGAGCAAGTTCAGTGACATGGTCGCCAAGTTTGCAAACTTCAAAGAGCATGCGTCTGACCGCTGCAGAACTGCTTGTGACAGCCAGTTGACTTTGGTGGAGAGCCGTATCAGCCAACTTCGTGATGCTTTGATCGACACAGCTTCCTTCAAGGCAGAAAAAAAGTTCGCACGGCTTCCTGAGATCCTTGAGAAGCTTGCTGCTGGAAAACTCGCAAGTGACCAGACTTCCGATTGCTTGCAGATCCTTGGTGAGATCGCCTCCTACCAATTCCTTCCGAAGCTGCCTCTCTTGAAGCTTTTGGGCAAAGAAATGTCTGGGGAGATTGAAAGCATGTTTGCCTCACTGACTTCTACCGCCCGGCACTTCCAATCATCGTGGTCAACGTTGTGCTCTATGGCATCAGGCTCTGTCAATGAAGGCTTCTTCATGGACGAGCGCTTTGTTGCGCTCTTCAAGCACTTGAAGGACGACGCAGCCAACAAGCATACCATGACCCTTTTGCCTTCTTCGGCTTCGCGCATTTTGAAGGTGACAGAAATGCTGGAGACATCAGTCGCAGGCTTTGTGAAGCAAATGACATCTACCTTTCACGGGTTCGTCCTGAAACTTTTGGAGGCAGAGATCAAGGTGGATTCAGTTCTGGATACGGCAACCGTTGGCTCCATCGACTTTGACGACAAGGACATGAGGGGAACCAAACTCACATTACATTTTTACACTCTGACATGATGACTTTACATTGATGCAATTTGTTTTTACTGCTATCGACGAAGATATTATAAATAAATCATATTGTCCAATCTGGCATATCAGCAGCATATATTTTAACTTTTCATATATCAAACAATATCACTAATTTCTTTTTTACCTTCTGGATTTCACTGCATGTGTATTTTCTTTTAACTATCATATAATCATTGAATCATATTTTCATCTCGAAATGATCAAATCATTATCATATCATCATCTCATCATATCACCATATCATAGCATGCAGTGACAGAATGCCTGTGATTCATCACTGATGAGGAACAATGATAAGGTAATAAGTTGACAAGGGTGGAGACGACGACGATGATGATGATGATGGTGATGATGATGGTGATGATGATGATCGCGATGATGATGACAATAATTTATAATGATGATGATGATGAGGATGATGATGATGATGACGATGATGATAGTGATAATGATGATGATGATAATGATGATGATGATGATGGTGATGATGATGATGATGGTTCCAAGGGCAAGGTGATGATGATAACATGTTATTTGTTATTGGGTTTTTAAGCCAATCAATGATGAATGTAAAAGCCAACCAAGGCAACCGGCATCAGATTTTACACTGGTGTGTTTCTTGCCCTGAAGGATGGCAAGATGAGCTTCGACTACTGCCAGTTCTACCAGACATTTTGTTCAGCCTTGAGTGCCGTTGTTAGCATCCAGCCTGCGAACAATCCTCAAGACCAGGTGCAAGTCCACGCTTCTTTCCTGTGCTTAGCAGGAGCTCTGCTGAACTTGTCAAAGTACGTGGCTTCGTTTCAGGAGAAGTTCACAGAAGTCTCGCAGATTGCTGTTTTCAGTGACCTGATCGCAGCAGACTACAACTCCGTGCAGGCAAAGAAAAAGCCAGACAGCATCTACAAGATGACAAGTCTTTTGCAGATGTGCTCTCATTTCACGAAATTCTCATCGATTTCTTCCACATTCGTCACCATCACCAAAGGGCTTGATGATGGGGAGAAGGAAAAGGACTACTACCATCAGCTCATGAACAAGATGTCCGGATACATTGTGCAGATTTTAACTTTGTGCAACGATGAGCTGGGCAACGCGTGGAAAGCCTTGGATGAAAATTTCAAGACCATGGTGAACAATCACACCTACCCCGCTTTGTTTCAGTCCGAGAAATTGGACAAGGTCAAGATCGGCGCATTGGTTGGGGATTCTTCCACCAAGTTTCTTTTGTTCCTTGGCCCTAGGTGCGCAAATTTGTGCAATGATATCAAGACCATTTTGGAAGCCACCCGGGTATTACTCAAAGAAGTAACAGTGCCCCAGAATGTCTTGAATGTGTTTTCAGCGTTGGAAGGTGATTTGTCCAAGTTTGGCTCCTCTAGCCAGCAGGGTGTTCCGGCACAAGGTGCCAAAGTTGCGTTAGGCCACTTTAGCTTTTTCCAAGCTTCCCTCACACTGGCGCAAGTCTTTACCAGAGACTTGGCGCCGGGGGAGACAAGACTGGGGCTCGCGAAGCGTGCCGTGGATATCTTGAATACCAAGAAAATGCAGTTTGAACCGTGCTTGCAGCGCTACTTTAATACACTCACAGGAAAGTAAACAGTGAGTTGTCGCTTCGCCAGATGAGGGGTTTGGCTGGCTTGGCGTGCAATCGCATTGCAAAATGCAGTGCCACGGATAGCAGTGATCGGGATTATGCCGCAGGCAACAATCAAACCAGACAAGAGCAGCTAGCAGGAGACAAAAAAAACATTCTGAGCCGTTCAGGATCGCTTTCAGCTTGGTGAAGTTGTTGTTGTGGTTTGGATCGTGTACCCTATGCGGTATTTTGATAATAACTAAATGATGATATTCAGTCTATAGTCTAATATTAAATATATATTATATATATTATATTATATGATATATATTTATAATAACTGTATCAATATCAATATCAATATTATCCAATATTGTGTTATTAAGAAATATTTTGTGACACATAGTATCAGCTGTATCCCAGATATAAAGTATAATATATAATTTTCAAATCTAATTTTACTATTAAATTTATATTCTTTAACTGTTATGCCAACTAAACGATATCATATAATTTAATGTTATGTTAGATTATATATTTCAATACACGCACTCAAAGTTAAGGTAATGCAAACCACAAATTCAGGTAACACAAGCCCGAAGTCACGGTAGCACAAGCCCAAAGTTAGGGTAACACAAACCAAAAAAAATAGGCAGTGCACACCAAATATTGTAAAACCAATTCAAAGTTAAGGTGACACAAACCGAAATTTAAAGAAACACACAAACTCAAAGTTGAGGAAACACAAACCAAACAATTAAGTTGAAACAAACCCAAAATTGTTTTAGGTAACTCAAAGCTAAGGCAATAGAAAATCAACGTTAAGGTAGCGCAAACCCAAAACTTAAGGTAACAGAAAGTCAAAGTTAAAGCAGCACAAACCTAAAAATTAAGGTAACACAGAGTCAAAGTTAAGGCAATAGAAAGCCAAGGTTAAGGTAACAGAAAGTCCAAGTTAAGGTAGTACAAACCCGAGCATGAAGATAACACAAAGTCAAAGTTAAGGCAACAGAAAGTCAAAGTATGTCAAAGTTGAGGTAACACAAACCTAAAACTTAAAGTAACAGAAAGCCAAAACTAAGGTGACAGAAAGTAAAAAGTTGAGGAGACACACATGAAGTGTTAAGGGTACATAAAGTGAAAAGGTGAAGGGAACACAAATGAAAATTTGTAAAGGAAACTTACAGTCCAAGTTAAGGGAACAGAAAGTCAAAAGTTAAGGGTATAAAAACTCAAAGTTAAGTGTATAAAAACTAAGAGTTAAGTTGATAAAAACTAAAAGTTAAGTGTATAAAAACTAAAAGTTAAGTTGATAAAAACTCAAAGTTAAGTGTATAAAAAACTCAAAGTTAAGTGTATAAAAACTAAGAGTTAAGTTGATAAAAACTAAAAGTTAAGTGTATAAAAACTAAAAAAGTTGATAAAAACTAAAAGTTAAGTGTATAAAAACTAAAAGTTAAGTGTATAAAAACTAAAAGTTAAGTGTATAAAAACTAAAAGTTAAGTGTATAAAAACTAAGAGTTAAGTTGATAAAAACTAAAAGTTAAGTGTATAAAAACTAAAAGTTAAGTGTATAAAAACTAAGAATTAAGTTGATAAAAACTAAAAGTTAAGTGTATAAAAACTAAAAGTTAAGTGTATAAAAACTAAGAGTTAAGTTGATAAAAACTAAAAGTTAAGTGTATAAAAACTAAGAGTTAAGTTGATAAAAACTAAAAGTTAAGTTGATAAAAACTAAAAGTTAAGTGTATAAAAACTAAGAGTTAAGTTGATAAAAACTAAAAGTTAAGTTGATAAAAACTAAAAGTTAAGTGTATAAAAACTAAGAGTTAAGTTGATAAAAACTAAAAGTTAAGTTGATAAAAACTAAAAGTTAAGTTGATAAAAACTAAAAGTTAAGTTGATAAAAACTAAGAGTTAAGTTGATAAAAACTAAAAGTTAAGTGTATAAAAACTAAAAGTTAAGTTGATAAAAACTAAAAGTTAAGTTGATAAAAACTAAAAGTTAAGTGTATAAAAACTAAGAGTTAAGTTGATAAAAACTAAGAGTTAAGTTGATAAAAACTCCTAAAGAAAACGTGTTAGATCAACACCCTAAATTATTGTGATTGTATAGTGGAAGTGAATCTCAAGCTTTCGAACCGTCTGCTTCGGCAGGAGATGTTGGGAGGCTCCACAGCGCTGTACATGGCTTCAGTGGGAGGTCACTCTGAAGTCATAGCCTGGCTACTGGCCAAGCAGGCCAGGCACATGTCCACAGTTTCCACATTCATGACACCGGGGTGTTGCTGCATGCGATGTGGTTGATCTGGGAACATATGTAATATATAATATATGTAAGAGAAATCTACTGTATGATTGGGCATACGATTATTCAAAGAGCCAATGAGCAGACTATCAATGTGTAGCTAAGAGGCTAAGAGAAGGCTGCTGCGAGAACGTTTCGATTTGGGGATATGCTAGATGTACCTGGGAGGCACACGTGGAAACCTCGGGCGCAAATGTCGAAAGGCACTGCCCTTTGTATGCGGCTGTGCGGGGTGGCCATGCAGAAGCGGTCAGCAGACTCCTTGCAGGCAGCGATTGCAAACTTGGACATACCAAGACATACCAAGACCTAACTTGTGGCATCTTGTGGCTATTGTACTTGATTTATATATATACTTGATTATGTTATTGTATGTTATTGTGTACTATTGCATGTGGTTGTATGTTGTTGTATGAGTTACTGTAGAACTATGTAGAACTGTGTGGAGCTGCTTGCCTGCCCTTTGAACATATCTGACAGGTGGGGCAAACCCAAACTACAACAAGCGAGGGCCGACACCGCTCCGATCAGCAGTTCTACATGGCCATACTGAGGCCCGAAAACCCGAAAATAACCACTTCTACTGCAAGACTCGTGCATCAATTCGTGAATTCCCATGGCTCCGCGTGTAGTTCTGCAGTGAGGTGATTGGGCGCTTGCTCAGTGGCGGAGCAGCTGTGAATGCAGATGATGTCACGACCCCAGTCATTGAGGTCTCTGTAGTCTCGAGGGCACGCAGCAAGATGCCAAATGCTAGACTCCGTCCGTCTGTATGACTCAGAAACAGTATTTGAGCGGGGGCAAACTTTTGATTCATACTAATCGTCACTAACCCATCATGCATCACAATTCTGTTCGCCTGTCAGAATTGATTTTTATAATTGTTGTATACTTTGATTTTATGATCTTTATGAGTAGCCTTTGCTGTGGTGTGTGCCGACTTGCGCTATCAACCTTGTCCCACCGTGGCAAGGTTTGGGCTGCCTTGCTACTTGGGAACTTGCGTGGTGCAAGACGCCTCGCCAAGGCCAGACAGAACATGAGAGAGAGAGAGAGAGAGAGATGCTGTCAGATGCTGTCTGATGCTGTCAGATGCTGTCAGATGCTGTCAGATGCTGTCAGATGCTGTCAGGGCTGTACAGTTGTCTCAACCTGTCACATCTATTGCTGCCCTTCTCTCATTTCGAGCGTGTGAGATCGAATCGCTTTCAGACCTCAAACTTGGCAGGCAACAGGGTATTCCTGGGCAGTAGTTCGTCGTGGTTGCTGGCTGGTCACAGGCAGGGATGGTCCGAGACGAACAACTGAAGATAAATTTATGCTAGACACTGGCCTTTCATGATACTTATTCAGTATCATTGACGAGTATTTCTTACGCGTCACAGTAATTATATAACCCCATGTTCTTGGTTTGGAATCCAGATTATCCAGATGGCTGCTCAGAGCCTCTCAGAGTTGGTGTGGAGCGATCAGTGCGATTGCTCACAGCCTGCAGGAGTGATGGGGGCATGCACCCTGACGTACATGCTGTCGGGTGCAATCCTGCAGCGGGCACTGGCTGAGCTAATTCTGATTGAAGGTGTGAAGCCCCTCTGACACCAAGGGCTTTGGAGTCAAACCAGCTCCCTGTGCCTTACGACTTGGAGTTCCACTGGAAATCATATAATTAGAAATCATGTAGCAATCAACTGTTTTGAGTTTGCAACCTGCTGAAGAGTTGTGCCTGACCACATGTCGCATGCTGCTTGTAAGACACCGCCACCACTTGGGCCACATTGGTCACCAGTAGGACCATTCAAATCGTTCAACCGTCATGAGCCAATGAACACATGATGGACTTGAATCATTGAAAGCAGTGGCAAAGCCATTCTGCGCGCAAAAGTGTGTTCAGCCACTACTTTCCGGAAGCGGTTTGTGTTCGTTTGTGTTCGTTTCTGCCGTTTCTGCTAACATGCTTTGTATGCCATTGTATGCAATGCACTCATCTACTGGTACAACCCTGTACCATCCGGCACATATGTACATGATTGATCATGATTGTACATGCACGTTTGTAACAGTTGATCGAAACATATCGAAACTAGTAAAATCACCAGAGCATGATCGGACACGTACGGCATCGTACGGCTCAAGCTCCTGACAACGAAAAACCTCGGATCTTGCTGAGGTGCCACAGTCAATGCCTGTGAGAACGCCAACCGGTGGCTGTGGGCTGTGAGATTGTTCTCGCCTTGGCAGTTTGAAGTTGTGGAAACAAGTTTGAGAGCACATGTCTTCCAAGCCTCATTTTTTGAGGTTGTCTCGTATGCATCCTGCAGGCTTGTTCGTGACCTCACTTTTGCGCTTCCATAGCCTTCCTTTAGCAACAGTTTGAAAATTTGAAGAGCTTACTTTTGTAATGAAGCTTCTTTCTTGATGTCTCTGTTTCTGGTATGTTGGGGAAAGGATTTCAATGCTAAGCAGCTTCTGAGTGAAAGGCCTACAAGTTGGCTTGGTCACCTGTAGCTGCATCCTCAATATATTGAAATATATTGCAATCGACAAAAAGCACTGTACCATGATGTACCAACGATTGTGTGCCCGCGGGCAGCGGCATTTCAAACAGGTCTCATTTTCATGTTCGACATCTTTGCTAGTATATGCCCCGAAGCATCACTTCATGGTACCGGTCTTCCTTTCCTGGAGCTTCTAGCTCGAGGTGCAGCAATCAGTGCATGTGAGAAGCCTGAAACTTAGGAAGACTGTCTGTGTGATGATCTTCTTGGGACATTTTTTCAAATCTCATCCAATCTAATTGTCTTTTGCAAATGGGATCAAGGATCAAATGGGATCAAATCCGCATTTCTTTTCAAAAGCCAATGACATTTTGAGGTGCGGGCTGTGGGATGGTGCCGCCAATCTCTTGTGAGCTTCTCAGGGGCCCATCATTGGCCCATCATGTGGAAACATGATGAAACATGTAGACATCGATGACCATCTACTAGATTTTAAAGTATTATAATGTATGACACATCGTAAAAGTATATTGCAAGATAGAGTGATATAGAGTGCGCAGATATACACAGCATATTCGTAAGATATTTGAGTATGTTAATCTTGGTAAGCGACATCTGGCCAACTCTGACCAGCTTTCAGTCCCTTCTGCTTCTGGGCTCAGGTCGCACATGTTCCTGTCGCAGGTTCAGCCGAGCGTTTGGCACATAATGCGGAATAATCCAGATTCATGGAGAGATCAATACCAGAATCATGAGTGAAGTATGGCAAACTGCTTGAGTGCTTGCGCATGTGGGGCCATTCAAAAGGATTTGAAAAAGGAGCACGAGTATGAGTAACGTGCTCTATCACGGACGTGTTATTCTTCGCCACTGGGCTACATGCATCTAAATGGCCCGAGGTTACTACCTTCAATGCAGTCATCACGGCGAGTGTTTGGAGCTTGGAGAATCCAAGAATCCTTCGCATTTTTTTTGAGACACAGTCAGATTGTTCCCCACATGCCAGGTGAAGGTCTCTAGATTTTATCAGAGGTGCATCCCGTCCTCCTCCTCCTCCTCCTCCTCCTCGTCCTTTTGCATCTCCTCGTCCTGCAGCTCCTCAACCGCAAGCTACAGACAGCAGTGGGCACTGCCGGACCATGCCGGACCTCAACTGCGAGCTCCAGAGCTAAGTGGGATCACTCGAAGATTATATAGTTTTTTCTCTATGTTTTGGATGGTTTTGGCAGCTTTTGCCAGTAGCTCCTCCAATCTCCATGTCGCTGAAGGAGCGATTAAGCCATTGGCTTCCTGCACTTGGCCTACTATCAGCAATGCTGGCAAGGTCGCTGCGCATCCTTTCGGGCATCACTGGGCCGTTCTGTTCTTTTTTTCTCCAAGTTTGGGATAGTTTTGGATGCTTGGGTGTGATATGATATTGTGCATGGTCATGCTAGGTGCTATCAGTTTTATATAGTTTTATGATAAAGTATGGTTCAATCCGTCGGTTGCTATCGGTAGCAACTTCAGAGTCAGGTCACTGTCAGCTGCTTGCAACTCAGAGATCACGCTTACAATACAGCACTGGAAACCAACTGCAGCGAGCATGTTGGTTGGCCCTCGCGAATGAGTGTTTCATGATGTTTCATGTGTGGCAGCTATCTTCTTCAAGACAAAGTCAAACAAAAGACCCTTGCCTCTTGGATTTGAGCCTTGTGCGTCGTCTTAGCTTTTCCAAGGATTTGATATCCATAAACTCTGCCCTCATTGCCTGCGAAAGACAGCGTCAACCAGCAGCTGTCAAGGTGAGCAGAGCATAGCGGCATAGCAGAGCTGCAGCAAATTTTCCAAATCGTAAACATGTCGCAAGAGATAGAGGAGGGAAGGAGAGAGATAGGAAAGAGAGGCATGAAGACAGATCAGCGCTCGCATGCGTTCGCCCATTTCCAAGCGTTTCTATCACCCCATCCGTTTCCTTTGTGATGCCAGTAGCAGAGGTGCTTGACAGCCTTTCCTCTGAGTTGTGGTGCTTCCTGACTCAGACTGCGCAGAAACATCGACAAAAGAAGCGGAGCATGTACGAACTGAGACTCCAACAGACGTCAACCCACAGGAGCCACCTGTGCTCACTGTGGCAGCATGTAGAAGAAACATGAATCATGAAGAAACAAAAAAGTAAAGTAAGTAAAGAGCTTTGAGGACTGACTACTGTATATTCAGCAGTTAGCTGGAGTTGATTCTGTCCCTGTGGCGGGTTTAAAGGCTCAAAGTAACCTTGTGACTGGCCGCGCGCACTGGTTTCTTGCAACTTCAACTCATTCGGAAGCACAGCCGGAACTGGAGTTCTGTGATGGGGCAGTCAGTGTGCAGTCCTCAAGAAGGTGAAGGGCACGAGAAGTATTGATATATGCATATGTATAATATATATATATAATTATATATACATAGAGAGAGAGAGAGAGGGGAGAGATACACACAAATGCATACATACCTACACCCTCATCACCCGCGACTTCTCAGCAAAACCCCTAGGGCCCTAGGGTATGTTTGTGTCAGTTCATGTCTCATGGTCTCAGATGTTCAAAGATTTCAAAGGGGGTTGGGCGGGTTGAACACAACATAGCCAATGAATTTCATCATATGCCACAACTACAACGAATTTCATGATGTCGAATTCTATTTTGCGACTTAGGTCTTTGAATGCCATATGGGTGGTTGATGCTGTGACTCGGCTTGGGGAAGACCCCCTGCCACAGGAGGTTGCAAGAAATGTAGACACAAACGACTACAGTAAGACCTAAGACCCACTAAGACCCACTAAGACCCACGAAATTCCACGAAGATCTCCTAGACAAACTGTTTGATTGACTCAGGTGCTAGGGCAGCCAGAAGACCTTCCTCAACTTGCAGTCACTTCGCCAGTTAAAAGTCCCAACAACTATTGCTTCACTACCTGCTAAAGAGGGAGGCCATTGATGCGCATCATCAGAATAAGTGGATTCGGATAGCAGTGGTACATCATGGTGCACTTTGTTCAATTTGACAATGAGAACAGTTTTACGGCCTGTCCCCGTTGATTTTGGTGCGACTTGATAGATGCAGTGAGGTCGTTGCGCTTTAGCATGCCCGCCCGGCATTAAACATTTTCATATTTTTTCATGCAGTCCATTTGAGGATGTTGAACGAGTTCACCCCAAGGCGGGAGCGCTCTATGAGATGCTGTCACCACCCAAAATCACTGATCTGACCTGATCCTGTTGGCCTTGCTTCAGGTCATTCGAATACTTGGGCAAAACCCTGGCCAACTCACTTTGCAAGGCAGTTTGACCATTTGCACACGAATTGTCGTACCCATTCATACCCTGCTTAGTTCTGTGGTGCTTTGTGATCACGTTCAGCCAGGCACCAACACGTATTTGGTTGGTGACGGGGCAGAGCGCATCCTGATCGATACCTCAGATGGCAACTCTTCCTGGTGGGGATGTGTTTCGTTTTGGCAGGAACTGTATCAAATTAAGACCAATGCGAGCACTATCGAGCACTATTATATATATAATATATATATATATATTATATGTGGATTGAAGGACCTAAACCTGGCGCATACTCGTATACAGTACTCATTTCCAGGACACAAACTAATCTTGCCATATCTTGCCATGTTTTCGGAGGACCTTTGTGAATACCGAACTGGTCCGAAATTGCTCTCCAAGCCGAAGCTGCACCTGACAGGTGGTCGCTTGTTGAGCAAGAACCAAGCTCAGCTTGACTCAGCTCACCCGTGGCGCATGAGACACGAGGATCATTTTCTGGAGGACTGCAAGAGCCCTCCTAGTACATTCATATACATTCTGAACGCACGTCATACAAACAAGTTAAATGAAACTGCTATGTTTCCCTGCACGCCACATGGCGCCATACATCATGACGGGATCATGAAGTATCATGAATCAGACAGCCCAGGTATTGCTGGAAGAGGGTGCGGCAATTACTCAGGTCGTGAACGATGGGTCGGTCAGACTTTGGTGGTGGTTTTTTACCATTCTCCAATTATTCTTTGCACATCTCTACACTTCTTCTCAGCAACTTGCTCCTATTTGTATCCATGTACCATATGCACAAAGATTATTGAACATTTAGATGGCTTACATAATGCTTGCGCAAGAATGGAAGCGGCACAACTTTCAGCCCGCGTGCGTTCGGCTCAAGCTGAGCCGTTTCAGCTGTGTCCTTCTGATCTTTCGTGAGCTGCTTGACCAGCATTGTAGCAGATTGTAGCCTGCTGGGTGTGGCCCCTGAAATGAGATAAAAAGACTATATAATAATCCCTTCCTCCTAATACTAACCCCCCCGCCCCCCTAATACAAAACACGGCAGGTAGTTTTTAGTATTAGGGGGGGTATTTATTATTAGGGAACCAAATATTGCCAAAAATGGCAGTTCGAAGCTTACCCCTAATACTAAATTAAAACCCTTAATAATAAAAACTATTTTTCCGATCTCAAAATCAATTAATTTTCCTTATATAACGCAATTAAAATATTGCCAAAAATGCCAGTTCGAAGCTTACCCCTAATACTAAATGAAAACCCTTAATAATAAAAACTATTTTTTCCGATCTCAAAATCAATTAAATTTCCTTATATAACGCAATTAAAATATTGCCAAAAATGGCAGTTCGAAGCTTACCCCTAATACTAAATTAAAACCCTTAATAATAAAAACTATTTTTTCCGATCTCAAAATCAATTAAATTTCCTTATATAACGCAATTAAAATATTGCCAAAAATGCCAGTTCGAAGCTTACCCGTAATTGCTAGAGTAGCCAGGCAGCTTGGAGTGAGGGATTGGGACTAGGCCCCCCTAATACTAAACACCCCGGGGTGAACTAGTTTTTAGTATTAGGGGGGAGAACCCACAAATGGTAGGTTGATTTTTAAATTGTTTTTTAAAGGGGATCAATTAAAAGTCAAATTGGCCAAACTGAAATTTTCGGAAATTGGAGATGGATGCCTGTTTTTAGTATTAGGGGGACGTTTAGTATTAGGAGGAAGGGATTATCTATATAATGATGTCTAATCTATATATAATATTTTCAGCGATGTACTTTTGTACACAGTTGCCACGATTCAAGACACGCAGGAGCTTTGTGTCTTTGTCTCACCTGGGATACGCGGGCTGAAGAGCAGTCGTAACCTGTCTTATTTCTGCTAACTTCCTGATTCCACATGGTTCAGATGGCTGAGGTACATCAGGCCTTTCCGGAAAAGCTCCGGTTCACGTTCATACGATCTTACGTTTTCTCGAAGGCCCGTTTCGACTACCTGGGAGGGAAGGAAGGAAGGAAGGAGGGAAGGAAGGAAGGAAGGAAGGAAGGAGGGAAGGAAGGAAGGAAGGAAGGAGGGAAGGAAGGAAGGAAGGAAGGAGGGAAGGAAGGAAGGGGGTATTCAACCACATACCATGCAAGATGCAGCTGCCTGCAAGCACAATCGTAGTGAACTGGACACAGTTTCCGAATATTTTTCATTTTTTTCCGGAGCTGAGCATGGATCAACCTATCAAGAAGGGCCATATGTATTGTCCCGGGTGTTCAATGTTTTGTTAGTTGCACTTTGAATGCCCTGCTAGTGCCTGTTGGAAGTCTTGATCGCATTGCGTGTATTTGCTGGCTTGCGAATCAATTCACTTCCACCATTCACAGTATTTGACACTTAACAAGGACTTAAGCAGTGTCTCATCATGGGCAGGTACTTCCCAGCATGGATTCGCGGGGTGTGATCAAATACTCTACGCGCATCGATGCCGCGGATCTTTCTGATGGGCAACGGACCTGTTGCAAGCTCCCCCTGCGTTACTTGAATTGACAGATCTCCAAAAACATTGGCAGCAAAAAGAAACAAAGAATTTGGGTTGGACCCGCAGCAAAACACCAAGCATTGGTACGTTCTTTAGTGGACTCTGCCTGAGGTTGGGGCACCTTGGTGTTTGGAGTCTTCTTCGTTGCTGCGGGCCTCCTACAAATCGCTATGGCAAGGGGCGCAAGCATGCCTTTTGAATCCTTTTGAATCCTTTTGACATTTTTTGACAGCACAATACAGCCTAGGAGAACTATGGATTTGTGCTGCGCAGGTCTACTCACCAGATCATGGTCGCACTGGCGAGAGTTTCTTGGATTTTCTGTGTGGTGGTTGTTCTGAGCCCATCCCACAGCGTTCCATGTTGGCTCATGCCGGGTCGCTGCAAACCGCTTGCGAGGCTATGGAAGCAAGCTGTCCATTTGGATCCTGATGGCTTGCATGGTACTCTCCGGTGCTGCTGGATGTTTAGGTGCCTTGAATGTTGTGCCAGATTTCGACCATCTCAAAGGCAGAAATCATCTCAGATTGACTTTCATCCACTTTTGGTGGATTTAATTAATTGCAGCTAGTCCATGCAGACAATGCAGATGAATCCGTTTCATTGTCACAAGGTGCATTTTTCGAGGTTCGCATTCCTGTCACGCAACTAGTTTGCAGCACTGGTCATTGATCAGACGGATTTGCACACTGCAGCGTCTGAGGCAAGGATTTGAGCCCCCCAATTTGTGCCATTGCTAGAAGACACCCAGTATCAGGCAGTGTATGCATTCCTCATACCATGTATTTGTATCAAGCAGGCAGGCAGGCAGGCAGACGGCAGGTCTTCCATCTCATTCTATGAGGTTCTTTGCGCTAATGCTCTTCTTGCAATGCGTCTTGGAGCTCGCGTGGTTCTTTTGTGAGGTATTCTGGCAGGGCTGGGAGTCAACGTGAGTTGCCGTGTCAAGTCAAGTCATGTCTTGGGAAACACAGATGCAACAAGAGCAATGGAGCCATCTGAGCCCCACTTGGAGGATGGAAATAACCTCAAGGAGATCGGCGTGATGGTTTGGAATGAGGTCATGCTAGGCACCTTTTTGTCATTTCGCTTTGATGGACTTTGGTAGATCTGATGAAGGATTTGACCCTCTACCGTCAAGCCAGGGGAAAATATAATTTTCACAAACAAGCGTCTCAAATGCATGCAAATGCGACCCATTATCAAGCACACAAACAATGGCTGCTTCCAGAGCCATGGTGACGTTCAGGCAAGCGATCCTCAGATAACAGTATTGCGGTAGACTTGTTCTACATCATGCTGTCGATGAATGTGCGTTTGTGGGCTTGCGGCGTGGTGTCAAGCTATGCACCTTGGCCAGTGGACAAGGACTCTGCACATGTCATTCATGTTCTTGCCGACTAGCTTTGCCTCGGACAAAGGCTTTGGAATTGCGGATTGCTGGAAAAGCAGTGTGGTTCGAGCCAATAGAGGATGACGATGATGAAGAGGCTGGCCCGAGAATCATGGTGTCTTTATGTGTCTTTCATAAGTTGCATCAGCGCAAACTTGCGAGTTGCCAGGAGGGCACGAGTGAAAGGAGGGGGACCCTGAGGGGCAATGAGGCAATTCCAACGTTTAGTGAAGGATACGGATCAACTGGTGAAGCCGGTGGCTTGGCGTCGCAAAGCTCCAAAGGTCCTCAGAGTCCATAGCAGATCAAAACACCAGGATGACACTGGCTGTATTTAGCGGCCAGCATGTGCCAGATGTGCCAGCAAAAGAACCCGAGCTGCTGCAGAACTACAACATGCGTTGCTGCACTGTAGATTCTCTGGAAAAAAAGTGCAGCTGCAAGATGTGTCTAAAAAGCACTAGCAGTTGAGTGCCAGGTCGTCCTCACACACGGACACTACGAGCCGTCCTCAGCTCCGGGAACTGCTGCATTGGGAACTCCAGACTCACGGTTTAAAGCACCATCTAACGCAGGGCATCATATGAGCACGTGCGTGCTTTGTACCCGAAGAAAACAGAGGCATCATCCGAGATTCTCAAGAAAGAAGAGGGTGCAAATTGAAATCCGTTCGCATAGGAGAATCATGGAGAATCATTGTACTTTACAAGAATACATGTGGCTGGTTGCGGATATTGCGGCTAAGGATCATGTGGGTGGCCTGCCACTTGTGCGATCAGCTTTTCCGAAGGCCTGGACCCATTCGAGTGTTATGATTTTGTGTTCCACTGAGGGAAATCATTCCAGCATATTGAAGCTGGACGCTTTGCGAAGGCACAAGTCTGGAAGTGGCTACCTTGCGTCGGGCGCCAAGAGCATTAACTTACGCGACAATTAATAGACATAGTGGACACAGGGTTGACCTGCATAAAGTTGCAATCTGATTCATGTGACGTGCGCAGGTTTTGGGTGACCAAGATTGTGAACAATTCTCTCCTGGCAGTTTGGCACAAGCTTTTTCGGCTGGACGAAGGCGTTGAACAGAATTCTACAGAGAATTTTGACTTTACTGACGCCTGCGCGAATCTGCATATATACAATCATATGCACAAGGTACAAAATCGATCAGCATCGTATGCATCTGTAACAGTATGAGTCAATGAGCGTGGGGATATATGGGGATAAAGGGAATGACCTTCACTTGCCACTGATATGCCGCTTTTTCATGCTTTTTCATGCTTTTTCCACTGATACTCCGTGCCAGGAAGCACAGCTGCGGTTGTGATGGCCAGGCAAGATGCTTTTCACGCACCAAGCATTCAAATAGCTTAGCTGAGCCACGCTGCCACGCTGGTCATTCGAGCCTTGGTCCATGATGGTCTGATGGTCGACTGCTTGTCATGCTTGTCGCTCCATTCTCCAGCAGGTGCCTGAAGATTGCCAGACCTTATTCGATGGCCAGGAGAACTTGCAGTAACCTATTTTTATCTATTTTTATCTGCGATGTATGTGTTCCTCTATGGAGATTCTGAACTTGAGATATGACCAGTCGCATGACGTATGTGAGCCATGGACTGTTTTTATTCATGTGGCTATGGCTGCCACTGGCTCAAGGGACTCCGCACTGATATGATTCGAGAGGCGAGCCAAGGAGATGAAGCACACCCACTGGAAACGGTGGGCACACCGATGGTGGACTCTGACGCACCTGTGACGATTGTGACGCAAGACAATCCAACGCATGAGCGAGTCTTGCGACACCTAGGTGCGGACGGGGGGTCTGGAGAAGCCTTTGGTGATCTCATGGCACTAGCCGTGAGATTTCCAAAGACTTCTCGAGACCACTCGGTGTGCACCTATAGGTGCCTTTTGGCTGGCACCAAGTCCAAACATTGCCGCGAGCATCGAACAAAGAACGCGGCAAAAGGGTTGAGTGCTATGAAGCGAACAAGTTGCGCAAGTTGGGTCGAGTCATGCAGACCGTCGAAGAACAAATCGGCGCTTCTCTCACCTTTAGCCCAGGCTACTGAAATTACAACTCAAGGAATGGATTTGCAACAGTGGCATTCAGAAGCAGTGCTGAAGGCACGGACAGGTTGCGCGTCTCTAACCCTGGCTTGCAAAAATGCCCAATTCCATGGGTTTTGCTCATGACCGTGGATTGCCAAATTGAAGCAGATGCTTAGCAGTTGTCTTTAACCTGTTTCAGTAGCTATGTTTTCAAGACTGATCAAGCAGGTTGCTCCAGTAGGGATGGTTTCAGACAATAGAAACAGATTGATACGGGCAGGCTCAGACAAGCAAGTGGACTGACAGAAGCGCGAACACTTTTATTTTGCATGTTTGGCATGGGATTGCCAATTGCAAGAAGTCGAAACATGTAGAAACTATACCCTGCGTATCCCTGAATACTATTGTATACTATTGCGTACTATTGTATGCTTACGTTTCGTTATTATGTGATGAGATGTGACGAGCTGTGAGATGATTCGAACGAGGAGTTGCCAGTGGGGGACTCCATACTGCGGGTGCTGTTCACGTGCAGCACTTGGTCGCCTTCTGGCTTCCCAATTTTCAGAGGCTTCCCTATGCTTCCCTGGTTTTGTGTTCATCTCCCGCTCCAGCTAAGGCCAGGACACAGTGGCGGCCTGATATGTTCTGTCAGAGCTGGATGTTGGAAGCATGTTGCAATTCTGAATATGTGTCAGATTCAGTCAGATTCAGTCAGATTCAGGTGTGGACAGCGTTAGCCTCCTGCTTGAGGAGGCTTTGTTTGTGGTACTTGTATGTGAACAGCACTTGAAGACCATATACGTCATCTTGGTTTGTGGAAGTGAGCGAAGAGGCCAGCCAAGTTGAGGCAATCTTCACAGGGGATTCTGTATCTTGGCTACTGAGCTCCCGTGGCCTCGGAGAGGTGCAATTTGTATCACCGGGACAGGCTTTGACAACACCTCTATGGTTTTAGAATGGTTTTATACGGATAAAAATACGCTTTACATATCTTCACTGCTTCACTGCTTCACAATGTTTTACCATGTTTTACAATATTTTACACTGTTTTACTTCTGCCTGAGCTCTTGCAGCCCCTGTGTTCTGTCCCTAACTAGGCACGTATGGCCGCTTATTGCTCCACCAGTGGCTTCAAGAGATTATTTCTCACATTTTTACACGTGAGACCTTCAAGACTTCAATATGTTTAATCAATGGAGGGCTATTTCTTTCTTTCTTTTTTTCGCGGCAGGTTTTTTTTTGGGGGGGGTCCTGGTTCTATGCTTTCATGTTTCTCTGATTTTCTGCTTTTCTGCTTCTCTGCTTGCATTGCTTCTCTGCTTTTCCTGCTTTTCCTGCTTCTCTGCTTTTCTGCTTTTGTACTTCTGTGCCTTTCTACTTCTACTATTCTACTTTTTCTTTTCTTCAGTCATGTGTTTTTGCTGCTCTACTTCCTGCTCCTTTGCTTCTTTGCTTCCTGTTTTTACTGTCTCTTTGTTTTTCATTTTCTTTTGCTTTATTCTGTTCTGTTTGTATCCTAAATGAAACAACCCTAGAGAGACCCTAGGTGAAAGCCAAAGAAACCTTAAAGAAATCCTGATAAGAAACCCTACATGAAGCCCTAAATGAGCCCTAAAAAAACCATAAATGAACCCTAAAGAAACCATAAATTAATCCTACAGAAGCCATAAATGAACACCCTAGAGACACTTTAATTGACACCCTAAATGACATCCCAAAGAAACCCTAAACAACACGACTCTGAAAAAAAACAACACGACTAAACAAATGAAACCTCAACTGACACCGTAGCTGAAACCCTAAATTGGCACCCTAAAGAAACCCAAAATGAAACCCTAAATGAAACCCCAAATGAAGCCCTAAATAAGACCCTACATGAAACCCTAAATGAAACCCTAAATGAAAGCCTAAAGAACCCTCAAGAGACCCACATGAAAGTTTGAAGCACCAAAATGTAGCAAATACCATGCAAATGAGAGGTTGAAATGCCAAAATGTGACAAATACCATGCAAAATGGAAGGCGAACATGGCTAAATGCAGCAAATACCATGCAAAATGCAAAGTGACCATGCCAACATGTAGCAAATACCATGCAAAATGACAGGTTCTAGTTCCAAACTGTTGCAAATAGAAGGCAAATGGTACCGGGAAAGAAAGGCAAAAAAAATCCAAAACCTGAGGCAAAAAAAAATACAAAAACTATTCTACACCCATTTAATCAATTTGAGGCTATTCTCTGTGTTTGTAGTTTGGTGTGTGCATGTAGCATCCCTTTATGATTCCACATTGAGGTTCTTGGTGGCCGCACGGCCAGATTCAGCACCCTGGTTGAGTACAACAAATCCTTGGGACGACTCTTGAGGCAGTTCTCTTGAGGGTTTCTCCCTGGCCCAATCAAATCTAAAACAAAGTGGTAGAAGCGCTTTGCAACTGAAATCATATCATGGGAAATACTTTACAGTTTTGGAGGCTTGCCATGGATTCTCGCCATGTCATTCTTCTGTCAAGAGCTTAGTGACAGTAAAGCCGCAGGCTCAAAGACTCGATTTGTGGCCTGTCTTTATAGAACTCCATGAGCTCGATTCAACGCGCCGAGGCCAGGCCACGGGGATGTGGTTGACTCTGATTCCAAAGAGTGCGCTCGCACGCGGATCACCAGTGGCCGCAAAGTTGAGGTGCTAAAGGATGCTCGAGGATGCTCGAGGTCAGCAGGATTCAGCAGGTCATAGCAGGTCCAAAGTGATTTTGACAAGATCAGCTTCTGCCGTGGTTCATGGTGATCGCAGCATTTTTGAGATGCAAGAGGTGCAACAGGATGACAAAGGACAAACCCGCAAAAACTCACAAAAGAATACAAAAGAGAGATAAATGATAAATAGATAGAGAGAGAGAGGGAACGAGAGCCACAAAGACAGACAAAAAAAACAGAAAGAAAGAAGAGAGACACATGAGAGCTCACATGACTGAAGACGGCAGGACAAGACAGGAGAGGAGAGGAGAGGAAAGGAAGCTAGAGGAAGGAACAGAAAGGAAAACGGCGGAAAAGAACAGAACAGCTGCCTGCGGCAAGTGAGTGTATGGCCATGTACTGTATGTTATCCATATTGTAGGTACTTGCAGTCCATTTTGCGGATGCAAACCACCAGGGAGAAGGCTGCTTTACTTGCGGTTTACCACAGGTATATATAATTATGTATACATATATAATATGATGTGCATTGTCATTGTTGGATTGGAAACTGATTTGTCGTGCAAATGTAATGCTGATCATTCTGATCACTTCGCAGGAAGAAAACTTAGCTCTGTAGTATCAAGACGTTAATTCTGCGAGGCTATTTTGCGGACCTTGCAGGCAGGGCGATTGTGGTGTCATGTGGTGTATTGTTCCGAGTGCAGCTGCACCTTTAGGTTCCCTGCTGCATTTTCGCGATTTTGATCTTACCATCTCTTACCAGTTCTTGCCACTGCGAGGTTGCACCTGGCACAGCTGGAGACCTTTGCATGAATCTGTATGGCAGTGGTACCGCAGCCATGTCGGGCAGCCAAGAATCACCATATTATATAAGCATAATCATATATATATATATACATATATATATATTAATATGTGATTTTTCATGGAATCTATCCCCTTGCTGTGACACCTTTGACTTGTCAGCCGATTGCTTGCCTTCACGATCAAGCACCAGCGGAGGGCGGTGGAAGTGGGTGGCAATAGGATTGCCAAACCGGTGCTGAAGCCATAGCGTTTTCAGGGAAAACAAGGTCAAGCTGCGTGTGGTGATTTTCTGGCTGAACGGGGTTCATCTTTTTTACTTTTCCATTTGACTATTGGTGTGGGATCATCAACCTACTTGCAATTGGGAATTGCACCTCCAACTTGTGGCTACCAATGGAGGGCCTTTCACACTGGTAGCGGAGCCTTGTGCTCTGGCTCGCCAGTTTTGAAGGTCATTTGGTTTGGCCTGATAGCCGATCCAGGGATTGGTCCGATGCCACCCACGACATCGTCGATGGCTGCTGCAATTGAAACACCAGTTCCTGATGAGCCCTGTCAGAACACGAAGCCTCAGCTGCCATGGAATGCCATGGAACAGCATTCCGAAATTTGTTCCAGGAGTCACGAATGCCCAGGAGTATACACAGAAATTGAAGTTTCTTGCTGCAATGTGGCCGGATGGCTACTTGAGCCAATCTCACGGGCTGCGCTCTTAGTTGAAGGCACGGCCTTCAAGAAAGTTGCCAGGCTGGACCCAGCCAAGTTGCGTGTGAATGATGCTTGAGGAGAGGGGGAGTGGGGGTGACCTTGATTCAGACGAAGCAAAAACGCGCAGCAAGAGAACAAAGGAACAAGTACAAGCCAAGAACAGAAACAAGAACAACACCTTCCAATCAGACACGCCGGCAGGCCAGCGGATTGTATGTATTGTACGTAGTACTGTATGTGTATTGTATGTATTGTATGTAATGTATGTATTGTATGTGTATTGTATGTATTGTATGTATTGTATGCATTGTTACGTATTGTTTTGCACTGTTTTGTATTGTTATGTAGTGTTTTGTGTTGTTATGTATGTTGTGTATTGTTATGTATGTTGTGTATTGTGATGTATGTTTTCTTAGTTTTGTAAGTTATGTATGTTATGCATGTTGTGTATTGTTATGCATTTTTTTTCAAGTTATGTATGTTGTTTATTGTTTTGCATGTAATGCATGTAATGTATGTTATGTTTGTTATGTATGTTGCTTATTGTTATGCATGTTAATGCATGTAATGCATGTCATGTATGTAATGTATGTAATGTATGTAATATAATATATGTTATGTATGCAATGTATGTTATGTGTCTAATGTATGTAATGTATGTAATGAATGTAATGAATGTAATGTGTGTAATGTATGTAATGTATGTAATGTATGTAATGTATGTAATGTATGTAATGTATGTAATGTATGTGCCTACGGCAGGAAAACCGTACGTGCGTTTTGCTTCCTTTTTGAGTATTGCTCTTTGTCTTGGGGTTGGGGTGGGGTGGGGTGGGGGGGCATGTTAACGTTCCTCAAACTTTGTACAGGATATATTGCGATGTTGCTAAGATCTCTGGGATCGTTTACTACGTGACATGTTGCTACGCTGCTAAGATCTCTGGGATCGTTTACTACGTGACATGTTGCTACGCTGCTGAGATCCTTGGGACTTTCTTACTACGTTACAGGTTGTTACGCTGCTGAGATCTCTGGGATCGTTTACTACGTGACATGTTGCTACGCTGCTGAGATCCTTGGGGTCGTTTACTACGTGACATGTTGCTACGCTGCTGAGATCTCTGGGATCGTTTACTACGTGACATGTTGCTACGCTGCTAAGATCTCTGGGATCGTTTACTACGTTACATGTTGCTACGCTGTTGAGATCCTTGGGACCTTCTTACTACGTTACAGGTTGCTAGCTGCTGAGATCTCTGGGATCGTTTACTACGTGACATGTGGCTACGCTGCTGAGATCCTTGGGATCGTTTACTACGTGACATGTTGCTACGCTGCTGAGATCTCTGGGATCGTTTACTACGTGACATGTTGCTACAGAAGAGTGTGAAAAAATCTGCGCATCCACGTCTGATGCACATGATGTTTACCTGGATTTGTTAAAAATCAATAGATTTTGCATCCACTTTTTTTAACCCCAATTCAGTTATCCAAACTGATCGGAAGAGCATTTTATATTGTAAATTACAGGTGATTGTGACTCTCCTGGAAGCAACCAATGAAAACGCTCGCGCGGTTTCCCTTCCGCCGGAATGTATGTAATGTATGTAATGTATGTAATGCCTACCCCGGATTAATAAACCCCCCCCCCCCCCCCCCCTATAGGTCATCTAGTCAACAGGGCCCAGTGAGGGGTCCAAAAACGCGAACCCCTCCCCCCCCCAAATAATGTGACCATTCATGTCATCCATAAACAATTATTATCGAGCCTATAAGAAAAGATGAGAAAATCTATGAGAAACCATCAGATTCCTATGAGAAAAGATGAGAAAACCTATGATAAACCATCAGATTCCTATGAGAAAAGATGAGAAACCTATGATAAACCATCAGATTCCTATGAGAAAAGATGAGAAAACCTATGGTTAACCATCAGATTCCTATGAGAAAAGATGAGAAAACCTATGATAAACCATCAGATTCCTATGAGAAAAGATGAGAAAACCTATGATAAACCATCAGGTTCCTATGAGAAAAGATGAGAAAACCTATGGTAAACCATCAGATTCCTACAAGAAAAGATGAGAAAACCTATGATAAACCATCAGATTCCGATGGGAAAAGATAAGAAAACCTATGAGAAACCATCAGATTCCTATGAGAAAAGATGAGAAAACCTATGGTAAACCATCAGATTCCTATGAGAAAAGATGAGAAAACCTATGGTAAACCATGGGATGCCCATGAGAAAAGATGAGGAAACATATGTAATACCATCAGATTCCTATGAGAAAAGATAAGAGAACCTATGGTAAAGCATCAAATTCCTATGGAAAGATTTGAAAATTAGTGGTAAACCATCAAATTCCTATGAGAAAAGATGAGAAAACCTATGGTAAACCATCAGATTCCTATGAGAAAAGATGAGAAAACCTATGGTAAACCATGGGATTCTTATGAGAAAAGATGAGGAAACCTATGATAAACCATCAGGTTCCTATGAGAAAAGATGAGAAAACCTATGGTAAAGCATCAAATTCCTATGGAAAGATTTGAAAATTTGTGGTAAACCATCAGGTTCCTATGAGAAAAGATGAGAAAACCTATGGTAAACCATCAGATTCCTATGAGAAAAGAGGAGAAAACCAATGGTAAACCATCAGATTCCTATGAGGGAACGTGAGGAAACCACGCAAAAACCATCAGATTCCTATGGGAAAAGGTTAGACAACTAGTGGAAGACTATCAGGTTCCTATGGAGAAAAAAGAAAACCCTTGGTAAACCATAAGGTTCCTATGGAGAAAGAATAGAAATTAAATGATAAACCATCAGAAGCCCATGAGGGAATGACAGAGAGTCAGTCACCTCTTCCCAACATGATGAGCCAACCCACAAAAAACCTCTGAAACGGCAATAGCGCGGCTTCGACCTAATGAAAGCACAGCTCTTGCAATGAAAGAGAGTCACCTCTTCCCAACATGATGAGCCAACCCACAAAAAACCTCTGAAACCAGTGTGTTTGGCAATAGTGCGGCTTCGACCTAATGAAAGCACAGCTCTTGCAATGAAAGAGAGACACCGCTTCCCAACATGATGAGCCAACCCACAAAAAACCTCTGAAACCAGTGTGTTTGGCAATAGCGTGGCTTCGACCAAATGAAAACACAGTTCTTGCAATGAAAGAGAGTCACCTCTTCCCAACATGATGAGCCAACCCACAAAAAACTTCTGAAACCAGTGTGTTTGGCATTAGCGCGGCTTGGACCTAATGAAAGCACAGCTCTTGCAATGAAAGAGAATCACCTCTCCCCAACATGATGAGCCAACCCACAAAAAACCTCTGAAACCAGTGTGCTGGCAATAGTGCGGCTTCGACGTACGGAAAGCACAACTCTGGCAATGAAAGAAAGCCACCGTGAAGTAATTAGAGGCAATGTCCAGAAGCAGGCAAAGGTAGCTAACATAACAGCAAGACATTGGCAGAGAAAGACGCACAACACACAAGCATTCAAGCCAGCTGTGTGCCACCCCCGGGCTGCAAGACGCACCCTCCGGGAATCTAAGCCGCTGTGTGCCACCCCCGGGCTGCAAGACGCACCCTCCGGGAATCTAAGCCGCTGTGTGCCACCCCCGGGCTGCAAGACGCACCCGCCGGGAATCGAACCTGGGTCCATCGGCCCAAAGCCTATTCAACACCACTATGCCATGGGGGCTTGCCCTAAATGGCAAAAAATGGCTTTATAGAACCACTGACTGGGCCTGGAAGGGGTTTGCCGGAATCAAAAACACAATGCGCAACACCCCCCTAACCCCCCAACCAAACCCGCAGCCAAACCCCCAAACAACCCCCCAATTAATGAAACTCCCCCAAATAACCCTCCCCAACCCTTTGGTAGTGGCCTCCAGCTCACGAAAGGCTCTTGCAACGATAAAAAGTCACTTTTCCCCATCATCATGATACAAAAAACATCTGAAACCAAGGTGTTTGGCAATAGCGCGGCTTCAACCTACTGAAAGCGCAGCTTTTGCAATGAAAGAGAGACACCGCTTCCCAACATGATGAGCCAGCCCACAAAAAACCTCTGAAACCAGTGTGTTTGGCAATAGCGTGGCTTCGACCTAATGAAAGCACAGCTCTTGCAATGAAAGAGAGTCACCTCTTCCCAACATGATGAGCCATCCCACAAAAAACCTCTGAAACCAGTGTGTTTGGCAATAGCGCGGCTTCGATACTGAAAGCACAGCTCTTGCAATGACAGAGGGCCACCTCTTCCCAACATGATGAGCCAACCCACAACTTCTGAAACCAGTGTGTTTGGCAATAG